GTAAACTTATCATTAAGAGGTTATGATGATACCTTACAAGACCTTGATTTCATGAATGAATAAAGCTAGGTAAACAACTTCCAGAAAGGTCATGACAAACTGTCACATCTGTAACAAACAGGGTATAGGGTAAAAAAATTGACATTCATGTTTTATCTGAACTGACACATTCATTTCTTTATAAAGCAGAAATCTCAAAAAGAAAAGAATACAGATCTAAATAATCACCAATCAAATTGAGATATAGCGTGACATGTCACAGTTTGATCCACGTGAATGTTTAAGCTGGAGTTGATCTGGAAAGTGTGATGATGACAAAATCAGCAAGAATCCAAATAATCAAGCTAAGTTGCCACGCCCATTTTCATGAAACCTCTAAGATATCTCTTACATCCATCTCTAAAAGTGTCTATCAAAAAACCTGGGTGCCACAATCCTCTTTTGTGTAGCTGGGTTCTGAAATTCTACTTTTTTATGGAACATAGGAGGACCTCATACTGATAAAGTGATAATGTTCTATTGGATATAATATTACATTGATATAGAGCGCTGACTTGTAGAATTGAATGAGATGATCAATATGATGAACCATTAATGAAACAAGATCAGCTTAACATGGAAGTCATTTACTAAATTGATAGAGATTCCTATAAAATACAAACTATTTCTCAGATGTTAAGATTAAAAGGAATCAACAAGAAAATGGTTACGAAAATGTTACGGATGCCAAATGAAGGTGTCATCACTTTTTGGTGATGACATAAAAGGAAAGGGAGGGGGTGATACATTAGGTAGATGTAAAAAGCTTGTCTAGCTCAATATTCTTGGAACAGTTTCATTGACTCAAATCCAAGCTGGTGGCTGGTTAGTTTAACCTTGATACAGGTGCCTATAATTTATCAAATAAATAATCCTCCCCCACAATAGTAAAGAGCAAAACTGGAGCGCTATTATTATCATTTTTCTGCTAATTATAATAATAAAAAACATCTGAGTAATGTGTTCCAAATGTCAATTGTACACAGTAAAACTATATTGAACATGCCGTGAAAAAACGTTCAATGTTGGTAGATTTTCATTTATACAGAAATCAGTAGAGAGTGTGGAGGAAGGGTATCTGCTAAAGACAGGTGTTCACTGGAGAGAGGTGTTCACTAGAGACAGGTGTTCACTGGAGAGAGGTGTTCACCAGAGACAGTAGTTCACTGGAGAGAGGTGTTTACTAGAGACATGTGTTCACTGGAGAGAGGTGTTCACCAGAGACAGTAGTTCACTGGAGAGAGGTGTTTACTAGAGACATGTGTTCACTGGAGAGAGGTGTTTACTAGAGACAGGTGTTCACTGGAGAGAGGTGTTTACTAGAGACAGGAGTTCACTGGAGAGAGGTGTTTACTAGAGACAGGTTGTTCACTGGAGAGAGAGGTGTTCATTAAGACAGGTCTTACTGTACTTGTTACAAAATTAATAACTCTTTTTATGATTCTTTTTATTTTCCTAATATTATTGTAATCATCATGATAGACTACAGTAATATGAATAAATAGACCAGCATAGATGAATAATAATTATTGGCATAGAATTATTTGTTTATTTTATTTATTGACTGCATCTCCAATATAGGCCACATTTTTTGATCTTCTGTTTAACAATATAATATATTTGTCATGTATTATAGTTATATTTATTTATTTCTAAATAGATAAATAAAAATAAATATAATTTGACAAACCAAGAAGTTTGTTGGATTTTTAAAAAGAACAATGATGATGAGACAATTAGGGATTTGCACACTGTTGAGAAAAAATCGAGAGGAGATCACGAATTGCATCACAGTATAGGGAGTTTTTCTGTTTTTACCATATTTTTATTCAATTACCTGAGTGATTTGTTTTTAGTCTGGTTCTGACACTAACTTTTCTATCTGTTCTATAATATTTGGCATGAAATCATTAACTGTTAACGTCTCCTCTTATTCAATATACAGTATTACCACTTTGGAAAATTATCAAATTCAAAACATGTACTGAAAAGAACATGGATGTAAATACTTATACTGCCCTTAAGTTAAAACTTGGAAATACATCAACTCCAAAATATAGTAAAACCTGTCTTGGTGAACACCATTAGATAACGCCTGTATTTAGTGAACACCACTTCAAGACACATTTTACATTGACTCATGCATAAAATCCCCTCTCTGTAAAGAACATGTATCTCCAGTAAACACCTTTTTGTGGGTCTACAAGTGTTCACCATATACAGGTTTTACTGACACTTCTTTGAATTGAACACTTCTAAATATGAACACCCTTTTTTGTTTCAATGTGTCATGTCCCATTGATTCAGACATTAGGAAACTTTGAAATGTGAACACCTGCTATTTAAACACTTTTGGCATGTTCCAATAGAGTTTGGAATAGACAGGTTATAATTTAAACATTGTTCAAAATATGTGACTTGTTTACTTACAATAAATATAATTTTGGAAATATCATTCTATGTCAGATATATGATTCATGATTGAAGATGAACATACTTGTATCTTAAAATTCTGGAGTGGATTGTCTTTTTTACACCAGCCCTTCGCACAGGATTTCATTTTTGTTTTTATAAACCATATCATACATTTAGAGAAAATAAAGGACCCACGGTCCTGTGCTCACACAGTGTAGTGGATATGAATAAAATGAATGTGGATGTGACTCAATCCAAATAGCAGTTTTAATTTGTGCGGCCAATGTTGACGGACGGATGGACCAACGGATGGACGCCTGGTCAATCCCATATGCTCACTGTGTGAGCCAAACATTATGTAACACTCAACCTAAAGGCACACATGTATGATAATGATTTGCACTTTTATTATAATTATTGGCAATTAAATCTGTTAGCAAAAACAGAATAAATTACCTCTTTTTGTCTAAGAGCTATTAATTCTTAAAGTAATTTGTTAAATGGCACTGTGGCATTTGCAAATGATAACTTTAACAAGTTAAAAGAACATCAATTGCTAAAACAATCTAATTCATACTAAGCTAAACCACATTAGTGATCTTACAATAGTAATGAAACCTCATTATCATTCAAATATAGAAAAGATGCACATTATCATTTGCTTGCTAGATCCTCTATATTCAATACAATGAATGAAAATAAAATATCAAATTTTTATTAAAAAATAAATACTCTGAGTAAAATTAATTTAGTGCCTCAAGTCTTTAGACCCCCACCTGTCCATCTACTATGTATTTCATATGTTGTGAAGGAGAGGTTTTGTAAAGGTTGGGGGGGGGGTCTGGCCCACAACAGCTTTGGAGCAAGACTAGATTCTCCTTTTAATTTCGCCAAATGAGAAATTAGCAAAAAAGAGTATGTATACCTAAAAAAAAAATTTGATCAGTTCTAATAATGATCTATTAATTTTGAGTTTATTATATGTATTAGCCTTGTGTCTAAACTAACATTATAGTGTATGACTAGTCTATTGTTATCAGATAGTCATAACTTTGTCTAGGTATCAGATAAAACTTGCATCTGTCTGGGTTTGGCTTTCCTGAAACATCATTGTCTAGTAGGCACACTTGTCCTTCAACAAATAAAGATGGCAAAAATTGTCAAATTCACAATAACTTAAACTTCATACTGCCAGCTAACCTTCACAATTGAAGGATAATTCTGCGTCACACTGTTACACTTTTCAGAAAATAAGTATGACATTTATATAAATTTACTCTGAATTTGTCTCTACTCCTATAGTCCTATTTATTACATGTAGTGTCATGGTTTCTGACAATTACTCTGATCATAAAATCATCTCTCATCTAAAGAGTATATACATGAAGTAGGCTCTCGCAAAGAGTTCAGTTTGCCCCTACCTCATTTTCACATAGTTATTGACCAACCATCTCTTATAGTCCTGCGTTCATTATTCCAGCTTCTATGCAGTACTATCAATATTCCAGGAAGAATGCGCGACACTTTCCATATGAATAAAATACTTTTTTTCATAAAATCAAACTCAGAAGTTACATAGCTGATGAAAGTAGACAACTGAGTCATGTACAAGCTGACCCAAAGTCATTTCATTAGGGGCAACAAGGCCTGTAGAGAGAAAATAGGAAAATTTTAACTTTTTCTGAGCTAACAAGGCAACATTGGCTTAACATCTTCTTTGACATACCTATTTTCTTAAAATATATGGATAAACTATCAATTTCAGCATTAAGAAGTGTAAATTCAGTTCAAAGCTTGAAAAAGGGGAAATCCACTTTTTCAATTTTAAGATCCACCATGTTTCAATAGGAATATCAGCTAAAATAATGTTTATCTAGAGGGTTTCTTTGTAGATAATAAAAATAGATGTTAGTTGTGATATAATATCCAAACTTAAATACATTTTGACACTGGTCCATGATCGTTGAATGGCCCTTCTGCACTAATTGTTGCACCTTTAAGCCCACATAAATGTGACATTTAATGTAACAGTTCACAATCCTCCATGTTTAACATGAACACCGAGGCCTACATAATATCATATGATATTTACAAATGATATGTATCATGAAGAATTTACATGATCTGACTCTCAATATTTACACCACACCTAGTTACACCCGATTTGAGAAAGTTCAGTCTTTTTAACCAATCCAAGAAACAGCTTTAATCATCTCTGAAACCTTTATATTTCTAGAATATGTTAAAGGGACAAAGCACTAGACCTTGGGGCTTGACATTTTGACCTAGAATTTTATCACAAATACTGTACATGATAACTAAATAGGGTAAGATGTGTTTTTATGGATTTCCAGACTCAGCCTAAATATGTATATCTATACATGTATTTTCATTGGAAATGTACATGTGGATGATATGCCACGAGTTACATGCTTGTATATAATTAGATGCATTCTTCAGTCCCTTGGGATGCCAATGTCATGAGTAAATGGTTTGAAAGGATATTCTGATAATGAAACACTTTTCATCGGAGAGTGAAATCTTACCTCTGAATTTCTTTGGTGGATTTGTTAAATCTCCCGCTTCTGGCTGCACGACACAACGGTCATCTACAAGACTGGAATAAAGATGAAATAAAGCATGAAAGCTCTGTCATTTACAATAGTGATCACACCAAGTATTTTTCTAATAGGGTGCTAATTCATCTTTTTACTTATTTTGGCTTTAACTACTTCAATAATTCATCTTTTTGACCAGGAATTAATAGATATTCAACAGGGGGTGATGGGTGTAATGTGTGTTGAAAAACATTAACAAATTATGTAGTTTGAAATGCTTAGAATGCATCTACAATATAAATTTAAAAGTTTCTTGGGTAGAACCCCCATACCCCTTTTTTGGGCTTGCTTCACTCGCAGTGACGCAAACCCCAAAAATTGCACTCCCTTGACAATTGCTGGCTACAACCCTGAGGGCAGCAGCATCTAATTTCTGATTTTCAACAGAATGTGGTTCCTCCATTATACATGGTCTGTATACCATATTAAGGCTAGGGGTGAAATGATGATTTACACTGATATTGAAAACTATGATTTTATCAAGGGAATGAAATAAAACTCCCTATCTAATAAGGCTTATTAGCTGAATGGATCCATTCTTCAGTCCCTTGGGATCCCAATGTCATGAGTAAATGGTTTGAAAGGATATGCTGATAATGAGATTCATACATGTACATGTAGTTTGCATAATCACAGGCCAACCATCAATCTGTAATACAACTTTACATGGATAACCCCCCCCCCCAGGACACTCAGTCTATAAATTATTATTTACTATGTATATAGACTGAGTGGGGGGGGGTATCTCTGTTCCGATGCCTGTGGTTTAAACTGTGTGAACAGAACATCCTTACCACGGTAGTTGTCAAAGCCCATGGATACACACTATAGGTCAATATATATAGAAAAAAGCAAGATCCTTACCCTAATGTTGAGATAAACCCATTAACTGTCCCTTCTGCATATAGGGAGATTATATCCCCAATATGTAAGAAACTGGTTGTCGATTCTGACATTTCGAAGTGTCTCCAGGCAAAGTCGCGATCTGGTTTTACAACTTTAGGGCTCCATTATAGATTTTGTATATCACTAGAATTTATCCATATTGATGTATAATCCAACTGAAAATATATATTTCATTTTGGCACTAAATTGGCACTGAAAGTAGATTTAGGTTCAGATTATGGTGTCAGTGCCACTGAAGTGATCAGTGACTGTGGTGGAAAATCAAAATATATTTTTTTCTCAGAACTTTATCCAATTCATACACTCTCAGTGATAAAATCTGTCAGATTTATAAATCCTGATGAAGTAACTATGCTTACTCACACGTACGCGATGTTACTTGCAGTTTTTCTTTCGTTTAGACGAAATATTTAGAAGATCTTTTACAAAATATTTGCACCCTGTTTTTCAACAAGTGTAGCCTAAGAACAGCAACAGCAAGTGGTTTATACAACCGCAAGATGGCGGAACGATATAATATAATTCTGGACTACTTTCTCTGTTTTCTTACAAATTTGTTGCGTTAAAAAGATGATATATAACTTAAAATTAATAAGAAATCGATTACAACTTAGTAAATCATTATGCTTTACAAAATAAGTAAATAAACTTTGAATAATTTTCAAGTTGAAAAAAAGATTGGCACGTGTATGTCATCTCGCGATAGCTCAGTTGGTAGAGCGGAGGACTGTAGAGGCAAAACCATTAGTAATCCTTAGGTCGCTGGTTCAAATCCGGCTCGCGAGATTTTTTTGCTTTTTCATAGAATACATGTTTTATTGATTTTATGTCATAAAAAGTCTGCAAAAACTAATGGAAAGTACCACATTAAATGTTAAAAACATACAAACATCACTGTCGGATCAGGAAGGACGCATGGGGGCAGACCCCCACCCCAAAGGTGAGCCCAGAAATAATGTTTAGGACCCTAAAATTTATGGGCTTAAAAAATGGTTCTTTAATTGGGCATAACAAATTTTCAAGTGGGCCCAATATTTAGGTTTTAGGGCCCCAAAATGTTTTCCGCACTTGAAACATTTTTTCCTGACTTGAAATGTACCCCCCCATTGTTAGCTTCTGGATCCACCAGTGAACATCCAAGGAAATCTCACAATAGCTCTGTTGGAATTCCTCAGGATTAGAGGCAAATTGTCCTAGTTCAAATCTGACTCACAAGATCATTTTTCCTGGTGCTAACATTATTCACATACTATGCTTTTTGTATTATCAAAAGTAATCCATTTTAGACTGTATCTTACCTTTATGCTAGTACTCAATGTTATAAAGTATTGACTCTTCAAAGAGTATGATCAAGATAAATATATATGTCTCGTATTATCTTGAAGAAAAATTATTTTAGAATGAATTGAAGCATAAAATATGTTTTATCTCATTTAGCAATAATAAGAAGAGGTCTCAAAATGTTCTCTTATAAAGTGTTGCATTGTGGGTACACAATTTGTACATAATTTGTGAGTGAACTCAAACTTGCATTACTTCCATAATTATGATGAAATCCATTATCCATAATATAATCAACATACATGCATATACTCATGTTTTCAGTTATATTTTTTTCTTTACTTCATATAACTGCAGTGCATTACATAAGCAAACACCACATCCAAGGTCATTCCCTATGTCGTTGTCAAAGTGAACTTGACTCTACAGATTGAAATTCATGCTTTGCAAAAATTTGATTCAAAATATGTTCTTTTAGTGATTTCATATCTTTTAAGGGAAATGGTAGAAACTATTTTGCAAAGTGTGAAAAGAATTTAGCCCAAGTGTGAAATGACCATTCCTTGAAGGTGTTGGTTTCCAAAATTAGCACGAGATGCGCAGCACTGGGTCCAGGGCTTAAATCCTTTATTCTTTTTGAAGAAATTGGATTGATACATCGTGACTGATACCAAACGCTTATCACTAGCCTCAGGGGTGGTTCTGGAAATCAAGAGGGAATTTATCACAGGTAGTGCATAATACCGATAAGTACAACTAGGAAAAAGTGACACCAGCTCAGTGAGATCATTAGAGCCATTATATTTGGTTGACTCACGGATTTAAATCTTTATATAGATTGGAAGCACCATGGGAGCACAATCAGACTGAGCACAATTCAATTGCACAATCAGTTTTGAGGTATAGTTGTAAAATGTTTTAAATATAAGAAACAATTAAATAAATCACAGTATATATTGATGATTAAAAAAGAGTAGTTATTACATTGAGTGTCTGCTTAGGTTTAGGGTTAATATGAAAAATAACCAAGTTCCAGAACAATCTCTGTCCATCGAAAGTGAAAGTCAAAATCTACATCCGGGTACCGTCATTTATCAAATATGGCGGCTACGTGAGGTAAGTTCGTTTTTCCATTCTTTCTTCATTTTCTTCGTAATAAATGATGGCCTGCCGTTGTTTTTCAATTAAAAATGAAATGAAGACATTTTACCACAGCACAGCATTAAAATTTACACATTTTCATGGCGCATTTTGTCGTCCAATAGACCGAAAACGCCCTTTGAACATTTTCCAGCATGGCCCGCCAGGAATTTTGCAATTCATGAACGTTCTACGTATTTTCAGTCATTTGCCAAATTGTTTGATTCAACCAAGACGTACAGTGGAATATTATTTTGCATCCGTTTTTTGGGAAATGTCCATTATCATGATGTTCATATTTTTTGAGACTAAGGTCAGGGTGCACTTTGATGAAATTTCATGACCATGTGCTATTTTCAGATAGGCCTACACAACTCATTTTACACATCATCTTCATATTTCATTCTTGCACAAACGATGCATTAGTGTATCTAGACTATTAATTGAGAGTTGCTAATTCTTCAGAATGTTTGAATATCTAGAATATTCAGTGGTTTACTTTTCAAAATTGCAAAAAATTCCAACATGCACCCTGGCTTACTTCGGTCCAAAGCCTTCTCTATATTCCAGCTTTGAGGAGGAAGATTGAGCTGCCTTAGTATTATAAATATTGTAAATCATTGTGTCACACGCACAGTAAATATGGCATAATAATATGAAATATACCTTTATGTATAGATTTGAAGAACATCAGATCCCCGTCTGAATCTATTGTTATATTTGATTTCAAAACTGCGAGAATAATTTCAAATTTTATTCACGTCCAGAACCGGAAGCCATTTTTAGCTACAGCGAGAAAATTTCACCATGTGTCAAACTCCGAAATGAAATTTTGAAATATCTAAATCCAGACAAGCAACGCTTCATCCTAAATATGATTAATATTCTTAAAAATATTTATAAAATTTATTAAAAATGAGTTCTAGGTGCGTGTAGCACCTTTTCTAGAGTACATACGAAATCAATGAAGTTTCGTCTAGCTGTAAGCTAGAGACTCGAGTAAACCCTGGCCTTATATTGAGGCAGATTCAGCACATGGGATTTGGTATGGTGGTTGGATTTCGGGCCTTCGATTTCACATCAACATGGATATTCTTTCATCAAGCTGTTTGAATCTGAATTCTACTGCAAATGACGAATTTGCATTACAGTGAATTCTTTTTCGTTATTTTCTCTCTATTTTGTAAGATCCCATATTTATTTACTATCCATTACATCACTGGTGATGAAACGGTTTTTTTTCGGTAACAAAATGTTAGAACGTCGAAGGTACGATTTTTCTTTTTTCTTGTTCCATGAGTTGTGGGCAAAATCCCAAGAACATTTTTGTCACAAACGTGTATCAGTACTTATCATATGTTTTAGAAATTATGTACATGTTTGTGTAAAAATAGGTCAGAAAACAACAGACTCGTCAATCTAATACCGCACTTAAGTTACATAAACAGTATGGGTTTAAAGTGCAGATCTAAACTGTTTTTGAAATACCATATGGTATTCTACTTGAACATCTGATTATATTTTTATGTCACCACCAGCAAAGGTGACATATTGTTAAAGTCTCTAGCTTTTTGTTGTAGATGGTGTTCAAACTTACAGCTCCCAATAACTGGTGATGATTTTTTGTCATGTAAATGCCTTGTTAACATGTTGGCTCAGATACTGCAGCCACTTTGAAGGTCTTAAGAAAAGTCAGCGGGTGATCATACTTTGTATCAAATAACATGATGCGTTTGAGTTTTCATAATGAAACTATTTAGTAGCTTTATAGAAGAAGTGAGTAGCTCCCATAATTCTTTCATATTCCTTCATATTCTTGAAAATATTTTTTTTTTAAATTACGCCTATCAGTATATGATGTCCAATCAAATTGCAGGATATGATCATGTGATAAATCATGAACACATGGTCTCTCAAAGTCGAGTATGCCCAAATAAAATTTGAAATGGTGGAAATGGCGTTACCGTATTATCTCTATTAAACGCACACTCTCTAATAAACGCACACCTGACTTTTTGTCCCAGGTTAGAAAGTCCTGTCCAGATAATATTGAGATCTGACGAAGTTCTAATAAAAAAAACATTGTGGGCGATAATAGAGTATTTTCACCATTCGTTAAAATAATGCATCATGATTCATGACGTCACGATTTCCCATCATGCAACGTAAGAAATTTCTTCAGGTGTTCGTAGGGGTGAGACGACAACCCGATGAGTCGAGGACTCGCGGGTTTGGGGCTTCGAGTCGAGTCGAATCGAGTCGAAGTTGATGAATCGAATCATTTTCGAGTTGAGAAAAAAATTCGAAAAAATGAAAAAATTCAGAAAAATACTGTCAATATGCATGTTTTTACTTGATATTGCGTTGAATATATAAGTTTCAATGACTTGGATATGCTTGTATTAAATTATTATATTGTATGTACACATAAATGAAAGATTATATGTAATAAAATCAGAATAAACTTACGACGAATTGTGTTTGTTTATATTTCCGGCTTTCCACCATTGACGCATTAAAAATACGAACGGTCAAAAGCGATGTTGTTCGCACTTTATCTGACTCGAAACGGATTCGAAACTCGAATCGTCATTTTCTGACTCGAATCGGATTCGACTCGAATCGGATTTTTTCGACTCGTCTCACCCCTAGGTGTTTGTGTAAATAACACACAATAGTGTATTTATATACTAAATTTGTCGTCTAGGAGCTCGCAATTCAAGGTAAAAACATAACATATAGCATATGTAATATGCTAATAAACGCACATATCTACTATATTTGATCGATTTTAGGTATAGAAGTAAATTTTCACCCATTATCGCCCACCATCATAATTTTTTAGAATTCCCGGGGATTTAGCTGCTTGAAACCTCTCCCCCACGGGAATTTGCTAAGCGCACTGTGTGTTTAATAGAGATAATATGGTATTTCAGTTTAACATCAGTTCAACAACATTTCAAAACTACTGTAATGCTATTCGATCCAAACTTGTAGAGAATGCTCATAAAACAACAGCGGACATTCTGTGATCAAGGCCTGTTAAACATTGCAACACTAATTTCAAACCCTGAAATCCGCTACAGATATCATCTTCAAATTTTTAGAAATTTCGATTTGATTCTTACTTTCTGTCAGCCATTTTGAAGTCAAAGCTAAAATCCTTATCTGCCTGCAAACTTAAAGAAAAACTACTTCATAGTTTTTCTTATGGGCATAAGGCCTCTTCTTGAGAAGGAATTTGAATATGGTGTCATTACACGGCATAGGTGTTGATTTTACTAGAAGGAAACCATACCATACTACCTTGTAATTTCCATTATAGTGAAATGTTCAAAATGACAAGTAATTTGATAAAAAAATGTTTTGTTCTGTTTGATTTACTTTGGGAGTTACTGTTTTTCTACTTGATTAAATAGATCATTTGGTTATGTAGTTAAAAACCTTTGGGATTCTCTTAAATTGAAAAGTGAAAATAATATTTTTCAGAAAACAGAGATGCATTTGAATCAGGGTTCCCTTCAGAATTAAAGCAAGTAGGCCCTGCGCCCACTTTGAGATATTTGAAAATAGTCTAGCATCCACCTGAAATTCTATTCTTGAATATGGCTTATAAATGGCAGACAGAAAGTATCAAATCGAAATTTCTGAAAATTTGAAGATGATATCTGTAACGGATTTCAGGATTTGAAATTAGTGTCGCAATGTATAACAGGCCTCATTTGCTATTGAAATTGATTTCTTGAAATTCTATTCTTGAACAGAATTTGAAAATAAAATATTTTAACAGTACGAATTTGATAGCATCTACTTAAAAATCCTGAGGAGAATAAGTACAGTACATGCATGTCCTCATGACAGAACTTAAAAGAAATAATTCCATGCAATGAACATTTGTGTTTTTATATTTTTCAGCCATAATTTATTGAACAAGATGCCATGTACATAGTTCACAATGAAGATTGATAGGAGTAAATTGAAGAAGAGTACTTCTGAAGTACCAGCAGACTGTAAGGGACTCATCGAAAAATTAAAGAAATGTTCAGAAGATGAGCTTCTTGGTGAAATAAAGCATGTTAAATCATGGACATTTGGAAAGGTTTGTAACCCTGTTTTTTATTTTATTTTTATTTAGTTTAAACAGCCTACCTTGAAAATGTCAATATCGAGTAATTCTCTCAACTTGAAACCTGTCCTGGACAGACATCAACTTGTTAAAATAAAAGTCGATGCTTCATATTGAATTGATTCATTTTGTAAATTGGCTGATGATGATAACTGAACCGATCTAATCCTGATGCATCAGTGATTATTCCATTTTCGACTGAGGCCATGTTATGTATATTTCTTCTCGTTTAGGGTTGTATCTGATCAAGCTCTTGTAAAATAAGAGCTTAAATCAATTACATTGGCTCCCTCTAGTCACAATTTCTGAAGCTGTAGAGTTGAACTTCGTATGTTTACTGTACATATAATGGAAAATCTCAACGCCTTTGTGTGGCTCTTAATATAGTACATGTATATGTTGAACTCATGATTGGAATGTGAATGAGTGGTAAGTACATGCTTCTAATATACTCCTTATTTGCAGTGTGAGCTGTTTCACTGGGCTGATGTCCTGGATAAGTTTGATGAAGTTCTGGAGAAAGCTTGCCGGCTAGAGAGCCCCCTACATTGGAGTTTACCATGCGACAATACTGGAAATGCAAAGGTAAATATGAGCACAGTTGGAATCACTTTCCATTGAGTCCATTTGGGTACATTAGATTAGAATCCGTGACGCTAACTGGCAATGCAAAGGTAAATATGAGCATGGTCAGAATCCATTTTCATTGGGTCAGAATGAATTTGAATATTTTGTCAATTTGTGTACATAAAATTAGAATCGGGGTAACTAAAGTGACACTTTTATGAATTATTCGAAATCAATTTATTTAGTGGCCCATGATGATAAATAAGCCGATCTAATCCTGAAAATCTATGATTATTAATGCTGAGACTGAGGCCAAATCTTGAGTATGATCATGTCATACATAAGTTTAAAATATGAAGTGATTAAGATTTTTACATTGACAATTAGAGTAATGAAGGTTTAGTGACCTTTCTTATAATTCATTTTGCTGCACATGGTGATTTTCAATATTGCAATATTTTACACCATGTTTTTGTTAATTAATTTAATGAGATATCCAAATATCATATTTTGGAATTTCGTTCACTATGTTTATGTGTTTTATGAATGTTTTCAGTTAAAGGAGATTTTGCTGCATGTGCTGCAGTTCACATCATTATTGATAGAACACAGCTTCTCCCGTCATCTATACAATTCCATGGAGCACCTGACATCACTGATGTCATCAAGTGACATGACAGTTGTGCTGGCAGTCCTTAATCTCCTATATGTCTTCAGGTTAGTAGCACGTTGACTGTAACTAAGGATATTGTCTGTATGTTACCTGCATTATTTGATAAATCTTGGAACCATGTAATGATGCTCATGTTGATACATTTAAACATAAAGTTCATTTAAAGATGGCGAGTCTGTAAGTCAGATGAATGAATGGTGAAACTTCTGATGAGATCCATGATATTTCCATGCCTTAAAGTCTTCAGGAATTTCAGGAAATTTCGGGGAAAAAATTTACCAAAATCTGACCCCATTGAGTTCAATACAAATCTGGATTTATTTCTAGGAGGAGTAGGGTGTCAAGCAAGGGTTTCAAAATTAAGGTCATATTTGTTTTATGTTTTCCTATGAAAATATTTTTTCCTCCTTTGAAAGTTAATGTAATGGGTCTACATTACTCTAAAAAGCTCGCTTCTTTCGCCATTCAATTTTCAAGAAATTTGAAATTTGTTGTTTTAAGCCATGTATTTCTCTTATGCAACATCAAGTTAATGTTGCTGCTGATGTGGTCGCAGCTGATATTTTGTCAACAGCCGATGATGATAAACATGCCTAATGCTGAAATAACAGTGATACCTAAATGATAGGACTGAGGCTGAATAGTAGTACATGTAATACCAAGCTCCCTTCACTCGTAATTGTGTTGTTTTAAATGTTTTGTTCTGGAAATGATAAAGCTTCTTTCTGTTAGAAAAAATCTAGTTGTAATCAATGTAACGTAGTGTGATGTTTTATCTGTTACAGCAAACGCTCCAATTTCATCACTCGATTGCCTGCTGACAAAAAACAAGGCTTGATTGTGCGTCTAACGCACTTGGCTGAGGTGAGGGACGGTTATAATCAGAATTTCTCCTTATTTGGAAAATCTTTATTTCTATAAGTAATAAATAGAATAGAATTATTTTGCTGTCCAATGATATAAAATAATTTGCCGATCATAAACATTAAGTACTGTTGAGCAATTACATTCTGAGGACAGTTACAGATACTTACAAATTAATTTATTTAGTTTGGCTACATTAATAATTTAAATCTGTATATCAATGGTTTTTAAAGTAAATATGAATTACTCAGACATTTGTGTTAATTTCTTTCAGAGCTGGGGTGGTAAAGAAAATGGATTTGGTTTGGCAGAATGCTGCCAGGATTTGCCATTAAATGTAAGTATACATGGTACATGTGCAGAAATATTATCATAATATAGTATGGCCCATGATGATAAACAAACCGATCTAATCCTGAAAATCTGTGATTATTAATGTTGAGACTGAGGCCTTATTCCATATTATTTTAAGTGGTGACATTGTTACAGTCTCCTACTTTTTGTGTTAAGTGGTTAGCAATTTTAACAAATGGCAGGTTAACATAACATAATAATAATATCATTTTGGATGATAATGTCTTGTTTGTTATTGTTATCATGTTTGTTTCAGACCTATCCATCTAGCGCTACAACTCTGCATTTTGAATACTATGCGGAAACCCAAGAAGAAAAATCTGCAAAAAAGGTAATAAAACTGTTTGTATCTTTAATCCTTTATGGAGGTCATTTTTTACATATTTGTTATGTCTGTAATGTTAGGTGATTATATTTATATATTGCTAACAGCTAGTGATGATAAACTTGCCTAATGCTGAATCACAGTGATACCTTAATGATAGGACTGAGGCTTGTACACTAATGTTCCTTTAATTGTGCTTGCTAGTATGTTTTGCTATAATTCCAAGCTTAAAGGTGTATATTTTAGAAAATTTACATCGTTTAATGAAAATGAAATATGTTCTGTTTTGTAGCAAGTGGCTAATGTAATTAGCAGTATCCATATTGAAAATGTGGATAAATTAGGAAAAACTCCAGCTGAAATCATGGAGGATATTCTCCTGAATTCAAAAGTACCAGAAAATAAAAAGGTATGTATGTAGAAAATCAATTATATTAAAATTTTGGTCATTTCAGTTTTGAACCATTTTTTTGATGAAGAATTAAAAATAATACTTTGCACTGTGGTACTGACTCCTCACTCCTATGTCATGAGTGATTTGTTTATCAACACATTGCTACATCAACTCGGCACTCACTCAGAGCTGACTGTCTATGTGTGGTCATGCTTGAGTAAAGGGCCACAAGAGTATAGGAAGACTAAACTGAAGAGAATAAATTAACCCTTAAATGCCCCCCCCCCCAGGAATTCTTTTGATAACTTTTTCTTTTGATCTGACACTTTTGTCTTTTGATCTGACACTTTCTGGCTTTTCTTGAAATTGAATTAAGCATGTTTTAGAGGAAGAATTGTGACTCTAACCCCCCTAGTCCACTCCCCTAACTGTTGGTGTAATTCTCTGTAGCCTTAACCCTTTAAGGGTTAAGGTCAGTTGAATTATGAAAAGTTCCAAATATTTGTGTTTAATTATCAATATTATATGTTCTGCTTCAGATGTTGGTGTTTACTCACATTAGGTTAGCTCACTCTTTCTCAAACTATGCCAAACGTGTGCAATGCGTGCAAGCCAGACTCCAAGCAATCTCAATATTAGGTAAGAATCTCCACAAAGAGATTTATACTTATATTTATTGCTGCTAGTGTCCGTTGGTCATTTCACCTGCCTCATATTATATGAAAGTAGCTTAAACTTTACACAGGACCTTTGCTAATGTTTCACATGAAGTGTATAATTGAAATTCTCAATATTCTTAATTCTATGATTTTTGAACAGCTTAGTTGTGTATTGTTGCTGTCCGATGATATAAAATAATTTGCCGATCATAAACTCTTAGAGTGGTGTTGAGCAATTACATTCTGAGGACAGTAACTGTTAAAGCAACGACCTTGTGCAAAGCAAGACTTCAGAATTTGATAATTTTGAGTAAAACTACTATGTAAAAGTAGCTTAAACTTTACATATGACCTTTACTGTGTCGCAGAAAGGCTTGATGTCTAAACTGTTTCAACTGGTCACAAAACTTTATCTTCTATTTCAGTGTACTCCAGTGCGATACAAGAAAATGTGAACACACTGTTATACACTGGACTCATCTATGAGTTAAAGGACATACTAGAGGTCAATGACCCTAAACTAATGGTAAGGAAACTGCAACATTTTCGAGCTAAAACTGCTGTAGGAACTGAAGAAATCTAGGCCCTCCTAAATGTTCTTAGTCATGGCCAGCTCCCTGGTTTTCAAAAAATGACTTGCACAGTATTCAGTTGTTCCACACTCTGCACTGTGGTACTGACTCCTCACTCCTATCTCATGAGTGATTTGTTTATCAACACATTGCTACATCAACTCGGCGCTTGCTTTTAGCTGATCATATCTTGTATTATATTGGCAAGCTGAAAGTAAAGAGCTACAAATTACATCTATATCCTCTAGTGGATTAAAATTAGAATCCTATTGTTAAATATAACAATTGATTAATAAATAGACTCCGTGGATAAAATAGATAGTAGATCAAATTGCATTTAATTATTCAATGAAATGTTATTGCAGGAAATCAAAGCAGCATCTCTTAGAACATTGACTTCAATCATACACCTTGACAGAACATCTCAGTAAGTACAAAGTTTAAATTATCATCAATCAGTTTCCTAAGGAGTAGGGAACGATCTATATTCCTCTTGGTTTTAACAAAATCACTGTGTATTTTCATGAATCTGATGAAACTGTTTCCATATTTCCAATAATTTTTTACCTGCTGTTCATTAATTCTCCTTTGTCAGAACATTAAGTGAAACTCCTTTCAATTGGTTTTTCCAAAGATTTTGTCTGAAGATAAGCTACCCTATACATATAGTTAAACATCAAGGTCATGGACCCTTTTATGCTTTAATGTTGTTCAGTGATGATCGTATAGCTCTGACTATTTCTGATAGTACATCTACAGCTCTAGAATTACACTGAGAACAACTACTCAACTAGATGTATTAGAATCAGTTTCAAGTGAAATTTTCACAATTCTTATTAACATTCATAAAAATCCATATTTTTCGCAATTTTTCATTTTCAAGAGAATTCAAATGAATTTTCATGTCAATCAAATCAATATCTTGAGTGGGTACAGCGCCCACTTGCTTTAATACTTGATAGATCACTGTTTATGTATATTATCTTCAGATTAACAGCTATCATTGAGTCAACTGGGGCGTCATCCTACCATGGCTATCTTCCTGTCTTAGTGAGAGACTGTATTCACCACATGACAGACCCCAACAAGGAACCATTTCCCCAACCATTTGCCACAGCATTATTCTCATTCCTCTACCACCTTGCTAGTTACGAGCCAGGTAAGCATGTTTACTACAGAAGGAGAATGTTATAAATCATTAAAAGCCATATATGGTGGGGGGGGGGGGGGGTAGAGCATTACAGTAGGAATTTTGATGCTGCAACTCAAAATTTGATGTTTGTGTCTTCATTTAAATGAATTGGTTTTTTAAGGGTGCAGTACCAGGTCAGCGTAGAGAAAGTTCCAGACATTAGATTTTGCTCATATTTGTTACAATGTATCACTATGATGTTATCATCATCCAAGTGCAATATGAAGACAGTGTTCGCGCTAGCCATTTAAATTTCTGAGTCCCAGGGACGCAACACATTTGAAAAATGTGAGTCCCGTCTAATATTTTTTGCGTCCCTCATATTTTGATATTAATTAATATTAAAGTGAAAGTAAAGTGGGCGATAATAGAGTGCTTCCGCTAAAACCGGATAAAATGACATGTATTGTAATTCTATGCATTCTCCCGATAAATATCTATCATTTGGTCCTTTTCACACAATTCTTTACTAATGCTATACCAAAATTCTCCGAAATGAATGAAAGAAATATTCAAATTAAGAGTTGTTTTCACATTTTACCAACCAGCGATCTTCAAGGTCGTGTCAAGGTCGTGAACTTTTTGTTTCTTTTTATAACATTTCTCCTTTCTCTGACGACTTTTAGATGAAAAACGTTGATCTATCATTAAATAATTATATTGATGTATAACATTAGATCGATATCTAACGGTTCCTAGTGGAAGTAATTAGGTTATCGTGAAAAACAAGTCTCAATTCTCAATTTTGAAACTAATGTTTGCGTACAACAGATTATCCAGCTTCGGTATACTCCGGAATGACTCGGAGGGCACCATAGCCAATCAAATGCTGCGTTTCAGACTAGAAACCCCGCGAATATACTGAGACACTTCGTAGCCAATCAGATTTGCCGACATAAACATTATCGAGATCAAGGAAGTAGACGATCTGAAAATTCTTCAGAAAATCATGTTTTATCACTTCTACGCTGCAGTAAAAGTTACCTGATGGTGGTGTAGAATCTTTGCGTCCCAAGGACGTAAGTTATTTCTGATTTTTCCGTCCAACCTCTTGAAATTTCCGTAAAAACGAGAAAAAACGGCGTCAACGCGAACACTGTGAAGAGGATTGACCATCTGCACCCTATGCAGACAGAGCCTGTGGGAAATATTGGGTGCGGAGCAAATGAGCGGAGGGTGCGGAGCTAACGGTTATTTTTGAATTTAAATTTGGGATATTTCTGAAACTAAGCCATTTTGGGACTTCAAATATACCAAGATATGTGTATTTGACACCAAATATCAATACAATTGTGAAAATAGTAGCGCAATTCATTCTATAGCGACGCAGTGTGCCTTAAACCTTTCCCAGACCTATATATTTTGAAATTATCCTTTTAATACTGAGTCCCCAGCATTCATAAAAAATGGTGTTCAAGGTGCACTATCTATACAAATTATTTTTGCATCTTGGAAGCCAGGCAGTATCTGTGTGATTTTATAAAAATTCGGAAATGTTCTTCAGATATGAGCCCCTCTAAATATTGGGTGCGGAGCAGCTCCATAAACGTAGCTCCGCACCCAATATTTAGAGGGGCTCATATCTGAAGAACATTTCCGAATTTTTATAAAATCACACAGATACTGCCTGGCTTCCAAGATGCAAAAATAATTTGCATGGGTAGTGTATCTTGAACACCATTTTTTATGAATGCTGGGGACGCAGTATTAAAAGGATAGTCTCAAAATATATAGGTCTGGGAAATGTTTAAGGCATACTGCGTCGCTATAAAATGAATTGCACTACTATTTTCACAATTTTATTGATATTTGGTGTCAAATACACATATCTTGGTATATTTGAAGTCCCAAAACGGCTTAGTTTCAGAAATATCCCAATTTTAAATTCAAAAATGACCGTTAGCTCCGCACCCTCCGCTCATTTGCGCCGCACCCAATATTTCCCACAGGCTCTGTCTGCATAGGGTGGTCTGGTAATTACAAAATAAAAATTATTTTACCTACCCAAAATGAATCTTTTTACTTTTTTGAGTTTTCAATAGAGCTGGCACCTTTCGAACCCTGGTTTTCGTATCCACTAATTGCGACTCAAGAACTATAATTTTTGAATAAGACTAAATGCGAAAATGAGGTTCTTGGGGGGCTAGCTTTCTCAAACCGGAAGTAAAACCTGCGCAAACAGACGTGAAAACCGACCCGGTACTGCATCCTTAATCCAGTTTTTGAGAGAATGAATAGAAGATTATCTTTAAAGTAAAGTGGTGTTCCATGGCAGTGTATAAGGCTAGATACATTTTGCCCTGCACTTTGTTCACACCAAAACTGGCTGATGATGATAACTAAATGATCTAATCCTGATACATCAGTGATTATTCTATTTTTGACTGAAGCCAAGTCATGTTAGATATACATATTGTTCCTTTTACAAGATCTAAAGAATGTCCAAACAAGGGTTTAGTAAAACTTAATTGAAACTCCTGGCAGTAGTATATTACTTTGTACTGTAATATTTCAGGTGGTGATTCCCTGGTGTCATGTGGTATGATGGAGTCACTGCTCCAAGTCATCAACTGGTATGCTGAGGGCCAGGAACATATCACTGTAAGTCATGTTTACATTCATTTTACTTATAATAACTTAAGCAATGCTCACTGACAGGAATAAATGTCTGCATTTTCACTGGTGTTGGGAAAAGATGGCAAAAGCCATAACTTTTTCTTGATAATTAAATCATATATACAATGAATGTTCTTGTATGTGAAAAGGCAGACATGCATTTTGCAACCTGTTCCTCAAACGAAAGCGCTGTCTGTTGTCAGATCTGCTTCATTATTAATACATTAAAAGCTCACTACCTATTTGGATTGAAAAATGTGGTAAGCTGTCAAGTTTACTAGTGGGGCTTCCACTTCCAGTCATTTTACTTTTTACATATATTTTGAAAGAAGATGAAGCAATTGGTTGTTCAATGATGATCGTATATATTTGACTTGCGCTGAAAGTATATTTACAGCTCTAGAATTACACTGAGAACAACCTTGGACACAATCCTAGATAGTATGATCTCAGACTACTTCATTTAAACACAGTTTCTTCATCTTTCAACATTGATCACTTTGTGTTTTCTAGTTTGTGACTCGTGCAGTTAGAGTTGTTGATCTTATTACCAATTTGGACATGCAGGCGTTCCAGACATATCAAGGGCTCAATGCCTTCATCAACAGACTAGAGGTAAACAATTTTATTTATTCACCTTCCTAGTCTTATATACTCCTTGAGCTTTATGCCTTTCTCTTATCATTGACTGACAAAAAGGTCTAGATCTTCATGCATTATATGAAGAATCATACTTAAATAATAATTTGAAGAATTGATGTTTAGGCTAGGGTATGAATAATCGCATGACCACAAATATTATTGCACAATTTAGTTAAAATAATATCAAAAATCTATCATTTTCCATTAATTCATGCTTCATCTGTGTTACATGGAGTTGAAATATTGTTTATGGTTTTGGTTGTTCAATGATGATCGTATATATTTGACTTTCTCTGATAGTATATCTACAGCTCTAGAATTACACTGAGAACAATCAATTCATAAAAATCGCTTTATGTATGACAGCACTGAATAATCGGTCTCTGTGCAGTCTCATATTGTATGAAGAGTGCTATATTGTATCTATCATGTTTTATTGTAATTAACCTGTCATCTTTTAATTATGCAATTAATCTGTCATATTGTTCAACCCATCATTTTCTATTATGTTACATTGTAGCATGAAGTTGAGATATGTCGGAAGGACCAACCATTTGTTATTAAACCAAAGCGCAGTGAATCTATGACAAGCACCGGTTCAAACCCAAATTCTCCTGCTGTCCAGGAAGATATGGAGACTGACCAATCAAATTCACCAGCTCCATTGCCAAGTACATCGAGTGAACAACCGGAGGCTGCTACTGTGTCAAATCCAGGACCTTCAAGTGTTCTGTCATCTGGAAATGATGCCTCGTCAGTGGCTCCTCCAGATTATAGTGCTGCCAAAACTTGTAAGTAGGAATTATATTGTATTTCTTGTATTCTAATGTAATTTTAAGATTAAAATGTAACCTTTGGGAATATATTTTTATTCAAACATCGAAATTATCATGTCATTACAATACTGATAATTTGTGCATATTTCAGTGCACATCTTTGTATTCAGGTATAATGGAGAAAAGGATTATTTCTGTTTAGTTGTCCGATGATATAAAATAATTTGCCGATCATAAACTCTTCAAGAGTGATGTTGAGCAATTACATTCTGAGGATAAATTGATTCAAACATTTTTTTTTCACTATTCACTATTTTTCTCAATTCAATATACCAAATATACATGTATTGTTTTTGTTGTTTATTCAGCAATGCAGTGTTTCCCACAGAGAGCAGCCTTATTGAAGTCAATGCTGAACTTCCTGAAGAAAGCCATACCTGATCCCTCATTTTCTGACAGCATAAGACATTGTTAGTACATTTATTGTAATACTCGACATTACCTATCAAATATACTTTTATAATGTTAATGAGATCAGTACATCTAGAAATTTCAGTCTGTTCGAGTGAATTTTTAACTAGTGATATGATTTGATCGAGCCAAGCATAAAGTTTAAGATGCAACAAATAATGATGTGTGATGAATAATATTGACAAGCATATGTCTGACCACCCATGTGGACAACTACCTGATAACTGACATCAAAGAAAATAATTTAATCAAAAAACTCAACAAAATGGTTACTTCATTGCTCACCAAGTTTTTTCATCATTGAATAATTCAAAATCCTGAGTTCTTGATAATTCAATTAGAATTGTTATCCCGACTCAAAACAATACGTATACATGTTTCTACAATAGTTTTCAACTAGTGTTGTTCCTTCTTTCAGTAATGGATGGTTCACTGCCTAGATCTTTGAAGCACATCATAAGCAATGCAGAATATTATGGAGCATCTCTCTTCTTGCTTGGTAAGTCGTTTTTCACTTGAGTTCTTCTTTTGTAACTTCTTTTTCATTGTTTTTCAAATTCTTAACTCTTTACAAATGCATTTTCTTTCATTTATAAAATTCTTCACTCAGACACTCCTTGCATATAAAGCTTGTAATGATGAACATACAGACCTGTCCTGAATACATCTGATGTGAAAATATCTCAACCTGAACAAGCAAATATAGTAATATGATTCCTGTTTAAATTGTTAAGGGGTTGTTTAGCGGACCCTAAACAAATATGCCAATGGCCACATAATGTAAAGTTGAAATCCTGTTTCACAATCTCTTGTATTCAATGAAATATAAACAAATTCATTAGAAGTATGTCTTGTTATTTTCAGCCACTGATGTAGTTACAGTGTATGTGTTCCAAGAACCATCTCTCCTATCCTCCTTGCAAGACAATGGCCTCACTGATGTTGTCCTGCATGCTCTCCTAATCAAAGATGTAAGTATTATCAATTAGCAATAATCTAACTTAGTTTTCGTTAAAAATGTAATTTTTGATAACCCAAATACCAGTTGACAGATTAGGTTCAAATTTTATATTCTGATACCTAGGGACAAAGGAGCTATGTTCAAGAAGATATTTATCAATCTTGTTTTGTTCGATGGGATTTGCTACTCTATGGAGTTGCTGTTTTCTAGTTGAACATTGTTATACATTCCTCAAAAAGCTTGTAATGATGAACATACAGACCTGTCCTGAATACATCTGATGTGAAAACATCTCAACCTGAACAAGCAAATATAGAAATATGATTTCTGTCATTTAAAATTGTTTGGTTTAGAGGACCCTAAACAAATATGCCAGTGGGCACATAAGTAAAATTAAAATTCTATTGCATAAACTCTTACATTTAATGTACTAATTACAAACTCAATAAGAATTTTGTATTTTGTGTACAGGTGCCAGCTACAAGAGAGGTCTTAGCCTCCTTACCCAATGTGTTCAGTGCCCTCTGTCTCAATGCCCGAGGCCTGGAATCTTTTGTGCAATGTAAACCATTTGATCGTCTCTTCAAAGTGCTACTTTCCCAGGACTATCTGCCAGCCATGCGTAGAAGACGAAACTCAGATCCACTAGGTGAGCCAATTTACATGTTAACTTTTTTCTTCAATTTATTGATTTGATGATAAGGTACAATAGGGCATAGCGTATGCTGATACATGTTTGAACTTAGCCCTGTGTCTTTATGCTGTTTTACATTTAATAAACATCTTAGTATAGGCTTGTAATGATGAACACACAGACCTGTCCTGAAAATATCTGATGTGAAAATATCTCAACCTGAACAAGCATAATATCAATCAGTAGTCCTTCATTTTTTGATAACCCATGCAGTAGTAATAGTCCTTAGTATTTTATATAACAGGAATGAATTTTATTTTGTTTTGTAGGTGACACTGCCAGTAACCTTGGTAATGCTATGGATGAGTTGATGAGACATCAGCCATCACTTCGGACTGATGCTACAAAAGCTATTATAATGGTGAGTGCATTATAAGAGCATCCTCTCTTGTATATGTTTAGGATATTGATTGTTCAATGATGATCGTATATATTTGACTTTCACTGATAGTATATCTACAGCTCTAGAATTACACTGAGAACAATCAATTCAACAATTGTACCTTTACTATGACAATTTTGTTTGGTATTATTATTACACCAAAATATTGTTATAGATCATTTTTTCAGAAGTTACTTTTATGGCATTTTTGTCTCTTACTATATTAATATGAGTGTATCTACTTTTAGTTATTAGAAGAAGTCTGTGCAATGGGTACAAACCCTCGCTATGTTTGCCAAAAACCAACGCCAAAAATTGAACAAATCTTGAGCACTCGAAGTGCTGCAGATGGAGCATCGTCTGATGATGAGGAAGATGAAGAAGATCTGGGGATGACATCTCAGAGAACAAGTGCTAAACCAATGGAGCTGAATACTCCTGAAGTTGACAGTCAGGAGACAATCGCTATACCACTAATGGACTATGTACTTAATGTGGTATGTCCAATAAATTTATTCAAATTTAATTTTGTTCATTTATTCTGGAATTTTTAAAATTGCATTTGAAAATTCAGCTTATATCTCACAGCACAGATTATGCACAACATTTTGCATATTATATCAGATTTAGAAATTGGTGGATAAAGTTCATCTATGCATTGAAGTTCTCCCATTGTTTGTATCACAAGACAGTGGGTATAAAAGCGATGCTATATAAATGCAGTTATCTAATAGCCCTTTCATATTTATTGTGGATGGGAAGCACTCGACTGCAACATTCCACTAAATAAATCCTCAAAATATTGAACAAAACTTATCTCCAATGTTAACTTTCAACAACATCATTTTGCCAGTTTCACATGCCTTATGGTGATAAAATAATTGATGAATATACTTCTCCAATTTGTATTTTTCAGATGAAGTTTGTTGAGGCAATATTGAGTAACAACACAACAGATGACCACTGCAGGGAGTTTGTCAATCAAAAGGGTCTCATACCACTTATGAAAATTCTCAACTTGCCAAATCTTCCAATTGATTTCCCTGCCTCCCCTTCCTGTATAGCTGTAGCTGGAGTCTGCAAGTCAATCTTGGTATGTTGACTGTTGTTTTACGCATAATAGAAATCTCCCCAACATTGTAGCAGTCAGGTGCTGCGCTAATATATTGGTATTGCTTTCAAGGGTACCCTTTCAAGATACATCGGTGCCTGGATGTTACATTTAATTGGAATTTTGCACCCAATTTTTGCATTTTGCATGACTTACTAAGGTTATATTAAATTGATTTGAGTCTTGTAATGATGAACACACAGACCTGTCCTGAATACATCTGATGTGAAAATATCTCTACCTGAGCAAGACTTGAAATTATCTAATAGTTCATACATATGTTTATATTTAAGAAATGGCATATTTTTGTTTATACTTAAGATTTATTCTGTAACCAGAATTGATTGTTTAATCAATGTTAACTATTTATTGCAGACATTGTCACATGAACCAGAGGTTTTAAAACAAGGCCTGATCCATTTGAAAGATGTTCTAGATTCCCTCCAGCCACTTCACAAGTTTCTGGATGCCCCTGGTGGCTCAGTGTTGCTAAGGGAACTGGCTAGTAGCATGGCTAACAACCCTGAAGGCCCCTTGACAGCAGCGTCGGCTCCCCTATTACATGCATTGACATCCTCACATGCCTATATTATGATGTTTGTACATGTATGCAGGGTTGGTCAGGTAAATATATAGAATATATAATGCCAGATTTTCATAAAAAAAAAATTATTTGCACTGGAGATCAAATCTAATATTCGAGTTACAATTTTTGCGACACTTTCTTTTTTGTGAATGTCAAAACACATTGATCTGCAAGCTTGTAATTTTCGCATTTTGCATGACTAATAAGATAAGATAATATTAAATTGATTTGAGTCTTGTAATGATGAACACACAGACCTGTCCTGAATACATCTGATGTGAAAATATCTCAACCTGAACAAGCCGTGAAACACTAAATACATTAAGCTCACAATAGCATTAACCTCAAAATGATATTGATCCTATCTTCTGTATGTCCTTCTAGAGTGATATTCGGAGTATATCAGTGAACCACTGGGGGAGTGACCTTGGTCTGGAGGTTCTGAAGGGACTAAGTCAGCTCTATACGTCTCTAGTCTGGGAAAGCACAGTCCTACTGGCTTTCTGTAGTGAGGAAATCCTCCCTGAGGGATGTGACTTTGGCAGGGCTGACATGGAGAAACTGCTGCCAAAGGATGTACGTGATAAGATTGCCAAAGAGCATAACTTGAAAAGTGCCACAGGTGAAATGGGAAGTAATGGTGTGAGTGTTGCTATGGAATCTTTAACAACTGCAGAAAGTCCTCCAGGTGCTCCTATGGACACTAGTGAGGCTAGTAGTCCAACCAGCACTCCTACCCCAAGTACCACCCCACATCAGGACTCAACCGAGGCTGCCCCAACAGGACTAGAGTCCAGTGGCTCAATGTTGGATATTGTAGACACTAAAAAGTCCAAGATATCCCCTGTATTACAAGCACAGATAAAACAGATCAAACCATTATTATCAGCATCTTCAAGGTTGGGACGGGCACTAGCAGAACTATTTGGATTACTAGTGAAGCTCAGTGTTGGCTCTCCCGTGAGACAACGCCGAGCCCATCAGATTCCTCCTGCTCCCACTGCCCCTACTCCTCAAGCTAGGGCTGTAGCAACTTCGCTGACTAAACTTCTGGCTGAGGGTCTTAGCTGGCAGCCACCTACTTGTTCCCCTGTACCAAGGCTCAAGTAAGTGAAGTAGACATAACATGGAATTTTGAGTTTCATGTCAAATTGATGAAATATTGGCATATTTTAAACAGAATATGTAAATGTCACTAATATGATGATAAATTAGTTCTTAGTTATATGTAATGTCAAAGACTTAGGATGTAGTGGATATAGTTTGGATTCTTCTGATAGGCCATGATGACAGCCTTGCCCTCTATGATACATGTGATTAGAGAAATTCATAATATACGCTAATCTGAGCCTACGAAGAAAGAAATCTAAGAAAGAATATCCTGAACACAATGGATTTGTGAGAAATAAACTTATACTATAGCTGTTTCATTGTTGTTCTAATGTAGTTATATGTTTCAGGTTGACATTTTACATCTGTTCTGTTGGCTTCACATCTCCACTGTTATTTGATGAGAAAAAGTTCCCATACCATCTCATGCTACAGAAGTTTATCTCATCAAGTGGCCAAGATGCCTTGTTTGAGTGAGTATACAATTGGCGAATATTGATAACATATTTCATCATGAAGTATCCAGCATTCAAACACTTATTTGCAACAAGTATAGATTATCAAAACTTGCAAAATAGCAGATTTCTTTGGCATTTCTATTAAAATTGGTTCGGTTAAATCCCCAAATTTTGTGTCAAGTTAAGGCAAATGATGACACATAGCAGATTATTTCAAATCATGTCTATGTTTAGATACATGTATTACATCAGATTCTATGATGATTAAAACTGACAAGCATATATCAGAAAATGTATTGTTGATTACTTTACTCTGAGAATCTTCATATGTATACACCCAAAGTTTCCCTAATATAACTGATGTTACACCTGAAGTTCATCAGTTCTCCCTAATATAACTGGTAAAAATGCTATATGTCGAAGTAAGTTAAATGATGTGTATGTACATGTACCTAATACTTTGTTTTGTACCTTATTCCCATTCACTGACACAAATTGAAGTACACAAATTGAAGTTGATATTCTATGATTACAGGGCATTCTATGCTGCTTTGACATGTGGAGGTACAGTGGCACCAAGTGAAGGCCTTGAGAATTCAGCTTTACCAGGTGAGCTTATCTTTACACATAGAAAAATAGAATAAGACATTACAAACCAACACAAGAACTTACATCTCAGCCTTGTAATGATGAACACACAGACCTGTCCTGAAAACATCTGATGTGAAAATATCTCAACCTGAACAAGGTAGACTAGCAAGATCACTCGGCGTGATCCAAAGATTGATCAACACAATTGATGGTGTATGGCAGTCAGCATTTTGTGGTGGATGTTGGTGGTTCGGTGTCTGTAACAAATCAAGTTCTTCCAATAACTGGTGTTGACATTTTGTCATGTTAATGCCTTGTTATTTTCATTTGTTTTACCTTCAGTCAGAAATGAGATAATGAAACTCTTGCTATAGAATGTTCTTTATTGTACTATTCTAGATGGTTCTGGAGAGTTCCTAGATGCCTGGTTGATGTTGATGGAGAAGATGGTGAACACCAAGCAAGTGTTAGAATCTCCCCACACCTTGCCCAGTAAGAGCACACACCCTGGCTTTGTGCCATTCAGTGGTCTACAATACCTCGCTAGCACACATAAGGTAGGTCTGCATGATATGAAATAGATGTCACTTGCATCTAGAGAGGGGGTGGGTACAGGTTGGGCCAATACGAGAGGCTTCAGAATGATTATAAATATAAGTTAATTTTGTACACTGTTTTATTCCTAATTCATTACTGGATGAAAATGTTCAATCTATAATGTCACAATAAGGGCCAATTAGTGCAAAATTATTGGTTACAATTAGTAATTTAATAAAACGAAGAAATGGTGATGATTGAATTTGCAATAACAAGTGAAATTGTTCATGTACCTGTTGTATTGTACTTCCAGGCAGCATTCAATGCAGTGATGAACTTATGGAACAAGAAACCTCTGAAAGTCTATGGAGGCAGGATGTCTGAGTCAATTCTAGCAATACTGTGTCACATTATCAAGGGAGAAAATACAATCAAGGTTAGTGTCTACAATCTACATACTTTGCATCACCTTGTGCTCCTCCACCTTCTCTCCTTACTATGTATGTACTGTAGACAATTGCACAAAATATAGGGAAACATGTAAGAGAGGGGCTTGAGACAGATACAAGTTGAGTTTCCACATTGGAATTGGTCCTTTGAATTTTACTGATTTACACTTACTTTTGCAAACATGATGAGCCAAATCATTGCTCCCTAGTGTATTGATAGAGATCATACACAATGCTGGGGCAAATAACCTTGGAGATCTGATGAGAACAAATATAATGTAACTTAACAGTCCTGTGTCATTTGATCAGTTGATTGCAATTGAATACAAATTCCTAAAGTCCAGTATGTAAACATTCTCTCCAGGAGAAACTTACCAAGGAGAGAGAAGAGTCCAAACCACCAGTGAGTACTGGGACATCCACAACATCTACAGCTTCCTCTTCATCATCGTCCACAGCACCAACTAACCTTACAACCTCTGTCTCCACGAGTACATCATCAGCTGGGCTTGGAGGATCTGGATTGGTTGGTTCTGCTGGTGCAGCTCTACTAGGTGCTGCTTCTAGTTTAGGTATTGGTAAGTTTAGTCATTGCCAACAAAACTTGGAACATTTTACACGTAGCCTTGTTTACTAGTCTGTCACATGTGGGTCTCAGGAAAACCACCTTAATTTTGTTGTGATCTAGTCTTGATACCTCAAAAAACAATGTTCTCTCTAAGATAGTTAACTGAAAGTACATGTTCACTGAAGGTACATGTAAATAAAACTCTTAGTTAAGCAGGGGTCTTATCTTTTATACCTTTAAATAGAATTAAACCAAACTTGATTTCTGTTTCTTGTAGGTCCTTTCATTGATGCGATTATCTCCCAACCTGGTGCCAGTATATCAGGGGCAAACCTTGGTGGAGCTGGCCCAAGTAGCAGCAGCAACAACAGCAACAATGAAGCAGCCCCTAGCTCAGTACAAAGCTCAGTGCCACCTATTGAGGCCTCCAGTATAACAGGGAACACCAGTGAGAGCAGCTCCAGTAACATAACACCCAGTACCACTCCGAATGCTGCCTCAACTACACCAGCCATTAATGAGGATCACCTCCAGCAACTTATGGATATGGGATTCTCCCGGGAGCATGCATTGGAGGCGTTGAGGAGATCCCAGTCTCTCGAGTCTGCGACAGATTATTGTTTGACGCATCCACCACCAGCTGCTAGGGAAGAGGTAAAGATATACGTTGGATCAACTTGTTATGTGAAATGCCCATGTTAAATACCCGTCACACTACAGATCTAAGCAAGCACATTTTATAGACTGGCTTGATATTAACATTGTTCAACTCTAAATAATTAACCATGTACAGGGTGATCCAGAAGTAACGTCAAAGACATTGTAATTTCAAAAGTATTCATCAGATCTTCATGAAATTTGGTATACATGTACCCACAACATTTCTGAGTTACCATCTCAAAGATTGGAATTCAATCATTTCATTGGTTGAAATTATGGTTGCTATAGTAACCCGATATCGCGTAACCCGGGGCAAATTACTTAACGTGTAATGCGTAATCTCAAAATATCAACAAGATCTGAAATTGTTATATCCTCAACATTTTATTTCACAACAATATAAATCATACTATTGCACAGTTACTAATAATAGTTCATTCTACATAATTGCCACCATTTGCAACACATTTCTCATGTCTGGATACCCATTCCTTGAACACAGAATTAAATCCATTAGAACTCATTCCTTGTAGGGCTAGTACTACGGCATTTTTCAATTCCTCACAGGATTGAAAATTATTTCCACTAAGGTTTCTTTTTAGTTCCCCATACAAATAAAAGTCACTGGGGGCAAGATCAGGTGAATAAGGGGCATGTTCAGGTTGTTGAAATCCAAGTGTTTGGACTGTGTTGCTGGTCAGGATTGCAGTGTGCGTAGGGGCATTGTCCCAATGCAAGATAAACTGCTGCAGATGTCCGGGACGCTTTTTCCTCAGGGAACGTTGAAGATCACGCTTCAGAACCTGAAAAACAAATGTTTAATGGTTGTTAAACCAGTTGTTTCATTGATTGGATTTGGATTTGAATCATGGCCATGGAGTTATAATTATATTGACAGTGAACAACATTTAAATACTTTAATTTAAAAATAAAATTCACAGTATGATGTATTATTAGAATAAATGATATCTTACCTTTGCAATGTAAACGGCATTAATTCTCTGGCCAATGGGAACAAAATGGCTTAACACCATTCCTCTAATGTCAAAGAATGTCACAACCATTTGTTTCTTTTGTGGAATTCCTGGTACTATTTTAGGCTTGGTTGGTGTTGGGGAGTTGTCATGTTTCCACGATGAACTTTGTTGCGTGGTCTCTGGGATGTAGAATGATAGCAATGATTCGTCACTCGTAATGATCTTGTTAAGAAAGTCATCTCCATCTCTCCGATATTTTGCAAGAAAGTCCCTTGAAGCCTTAACACGCCGGTCTTTCTGCTCCTGTGTCAAGTCATGCGGCACCCATTTAGCAGACACCTTCTTTAACAGACAGTTCTTTGTCAGTATCCGTTGCACAGTCCCATAGCTCAGATCGTGTTTTTCAGCCAATTCTCTGATAGAAATTTGCCTATTGTCCATAACATCAGCTTCAATTGCTTTGATGGTTTGATCATCGAATGATGACACTGGCCTGCCTCCTCGCTGCTTGTCTACCACTTCATCATATCCACTGGAATACTTGTTAAACCACCTGTAAATGTTTCTCTCAGCAATGGCAGCTTTACCATATGCCTTCTTTATCTGTCTTATAGTCTCTTTTACACCTTTCCCCAACTTTACACAGAACTTAATGTTTGTTCTTTGCTCTATTTTACTCTGACTTGGCGCCATCTTGAATTGGGTGGGTTAGTGTCCTTGGTCATGTTAGTATTTGTCATGGATGATGGAAGCAATTCAAAGAAATTGAAAGCTTTTTATGAATGCCTATTGTGACATCACAACTATTACATATTTGTTACCATGGCAACAAATATAAAAATCATAGAAAACAAACAATGAACATTTTCAAATGTTACTGACTTTTTAAATTAGAGAAATTCACAAAAACGTTATGGTTTCTCTTCAATTTGCCCCGGGTTACGCGATATCGGGTTACTATAGCAACCATAATTTCAACCAATGAAATGATTGAATTCCAATCTTTGAGATGGTAACTCAGAAATGTTGTGGGTACATGTATACCAAATTTCATGAAGATCTGATGAATACTTTTGAAATTACAACATCTTTGACGTTACTTCTGGATCACCCTGTATATGTGCTGCTAAGTAAAGAATGTCCAAATAAATCAAAAACACATTGTATTTGCAGCAAGAGTTGTCTGAGGAAGAGCAGATGTTAAGGGCAATAGCTATGTCACTTGGGGAGAATGTACTCATGGATCAGGTGAGCCAGTAATCTACATTGCATTTAACAAACCTGATCATGTGCCGCTATTGTAAAAGCATAGTTTCCAAATAAACGAAAAATAAAGTCCCAAATCTTGTATATTCCACTAATTTATATGGTCATTTGTTAACACTGTGTTTCATATTTTTATATCATACATGATGAGCCAAATCATTGCTCCCTAGTGTATTGATAGAGATCATACACAATGCTGGGGCAAATAACCTTGGAGATCTGATGTGAGAAATTTGTTTGAAAGAAACTGTTGGGAGGTGTTAAGTGCACATTTTGACACACATACTACATTTAAAGAATCCGCAAATGCGAAATCAGACTTGATTGTTCACTACCTCTAACATCTTCCTTAAAATTGTAGACGCCACCTCCAGAGGCGGAAACGACTGATGCTGTACCAGTAGATGTTCCTGTCCCAGTCTCAGCTCCTGTCCAACAGGAGGCGCCACCTGCTGAGCAGCAAATGACTGAGGAACAAGCTCGCATTCAAGAAGAACAAGAACGAGCTAGACTTGAAGAAGAATATAAAAGAAAAGAAGAAGTGGAAAGGAAGCTGAAAGAGGAAAGGAAGAAACTGGAAGAAGATACCAAGAGATTGGAGGTAGGTGTCCATACCATTTTTAATTCCCCAATGATGGATAGCACTGTTAATAGTGAATACCATTGAACTACTGTATTTATTTTTTTTATTTATTGATTTCTCAATTCACCCCTTATAGGGTATAAGAGTACAAAAGACAAACTTAACTAATACAACAAACATTAAAATAACATTTATATTGTAGATGTGAATATTTTATTGTTAAATTTTCTTTCATATGTTTATTTTGCATACGTGATGAGCCCAAAAATTGCTCCCTAGTGTATTGATAGAAATCGTACACAATGCTGGGGCAAACAACCTTGGAGATCTGATGTGAGAATTTTACAATTGATACATGAACCTGCGCCCAAATTAGTATTTGTCTCCTTAACCTTAGAACATGTGCATAATGACATGTGTTTACAATCTCTTCTCAGTGTTCAGTCCGATTTCCATATTTTTTATAGGAAGAAAGGGAAAAATGGAAGGAAGAGAAGAGAAAATTGGAGGTATGTGGCATGCCAAATATATTTGAATTATCCATTAAGATTTGCATGCTACTCAGTTACACTTATGTTGTTATATCTAATTTTAAGCCTCTTAATAATGTACTTTGTGTGTTAAGGAGGAAAAGAAGAAACAACAAGAGGAAGCTGCAAGAGATGTGCAGAGACAGGAAGACCCCTTAGACAAGGAAACACTTGACAAATTCACAGAGGACATACTACCAGGTAAGGACGACCCCTTAAACAATGAAACCCTTGACAAATTCACAGAGTACTGCTCAATGAACTGGAATTGAAAAGTTCACTCTTACATATTACATTTTCTCTCATGTTACATTGCAGGGTGTATGAACCTATTGGACACCCTCCCTGAGACTGTATACAGAGTATGTGACCTCCTTGTGGTTGTTACACAGAGGAATGGCAGTTCTTGGTTCAATGAAATGATCATCACATTGGTGCTACAGGTAAATACACTGAATCTTATATTGCATATTAATCTTGCTTAAGAGAATATAACAGAACTCATGATGATTTACGGATCCTGAAAAATTGTTGAAGAATAATTTTCCCGAAACTGATGGTTCTGTTTCCTATTTCAAGATTGCTCTAATAATTTGTAAGTTCACAGTTTGTCGCTTTTTAAAAACACTTATTTCTATATTCAAATATTATGAAAGGTGTATTTACATGTACATGCCCCCTAAGCATGGCTAGTAATAGACTATAAGAATAGACTAAGACAAATAAAACCACTATGACCATGGAATGAAAATGCAATTATTTCAATGTGTTTGAAACATCCCAAACAGTCATCTATGCGTCCGAAATTCTGGACAGCCCATTCAGAATAAAATGTAACTGTTTCACTTCAGACTTCTGAACTTGCCTTGAAACTAATGGAAGCAGCTCAGCCAATGACAATGTCCGACCAGAGAACTGTTGAGGAGTGGACTGGACAATTGGGCTCAATGCCTGAATCTGCAAAACTGGCAACACGACTTCATCTTTTGAGTCTTCTTTTTGAGGTAAAACACTTGTCTTTTCATGTCTAAAAATTGATTGGAATGTGAATGGTTATGAAGATATTGTTTTAGAGGAAGGGTTTCTAATAACCTGGTCGATGATGATAAACATGCCTAATGCTGAAACAACAGTGATACCTAAATGATAGGACTGAGGCCAGAATATTTATCATACTAAGTAGTAGTATTCTTTTTAAAGATGAACTAGTTAGTTAGATATAGGGACCTGTAATCCCTTCACTAATAAATCTCTATATTTTATTCAGTCTACCAGCCTGTCAGCATTTGTAACAAAAAACAACCACTTTAATTACTATTTAATTACATTTAATTGGTTTCTAGGAGATGAAGATGGTTTGTGCAGACCGTGTAGAGGAATCTGGTGTAATGGATCTGTTTGTGAGGCTACTAGATGTCACCCAGCAGTGTCTCTCTGCTGGCAAAAACCCTCCCACTCCAAAGTAAGTTATTCGTTCCATTCATGTGACATGAAAAACATGCATTTGTTGTTACTTGTCTTGATTCATCATTGGCTTGGAGGAAAGAACTCATGATGATTTACGGATCCTGAAACCAAAATGTGGAATCATTTTCCCGAAACTGATGGTTCTCCTTATTAATTTGTGCAAGCTAACTGTTGCTGAATTAATTTCAACATCTCTATTAAGTTCATAACTTTACTATATACATCTATGGGTCCAGTATTCTGGACAGTACATTCTGTATTAAACGAAATTGTATTACGTCAAACTTCTGTACACAGACTTCACAAATATGATATGCACTTATTGACCTAAGTATATACAGTGAAATGCGAAACACTAAAAAGCTCTTGAGCAATATGAGAATTAGAGTTCACTTTCATGTGGCTGAATGTTATATTGGATATGATGTTTTAGATGGATGCCTGTCTTACTGTTGTTGATAGATGAATTTGAGAGGGCAGCTGTTATGTCTAAGAGGAAACAAGAGCTTAGCAAAATAATGGTGAGTGATCCATGTAAATTATGTCTGTTTTGATTGTGACAAAGCATACATGAGAATACATGTATTCATTAAGAAAATTCTCAATTTCTGTGAATAGAGCAAGTCCTGAGTAAAAACATTTATTTGGTGATGATTGGTTTGTCATAGGAAAGAACCAATGATGATTTACGGATGCTGAAACCAAAATGTGGAATCATTTTCCCGAAACTGATGGTTCGCTCTTGAATAATTTATAAGATCTAGCTTCATGTACTCACATGGTAGGATCGCCAAAATATCCATCACATATAAGTTGGCAATCCCATCCCGTGTTACTTTATGCATAAAATGGAATAGTGCCTTTAATTGTATGTTTGTTGTTCTAGACTAAGAGTCGTACATGGAAGTGGTTTGATGACAGGAGTGGACGTTGGTGTAACTACAGCATTAGCAATAATAAAACTATTGACGACTCCTACTTTAATGGGGATAGTAGTATAAGGTAGGCTATTAGTTACTTCTTTTGTTGATGAGACACACACAGATCTTATAGCCTATTTGAATCATTTTCGAAAAATGTATATTTTGAGAACTAACATTATTTGAATTTTTTATTGCACTTTGAAAAAGTGCTATATTGTCGTCGTCTTGTGCTGTTGGGCGGGCGGGCGGGACATAAACCAAATCTTGTCATCAAATTTCCAGGATAACTGCTTACCTGTTCAACTTGAAATTTTTACAGATGCAAGAGCAGACTAGTACCAAGATCTGATTAGGTTAAGGGCATGCTGGGTAAACTATGTGGCGGCCATTTTGAATTTTTCAACAAATCTTGTCATCAGAATTCCAGGAAAACCACTTATCCGTTCAACTTGAAATTTTTACAGATGCAAGAGCAGACTATTGCCAAGATCTGATTAGGTTTTGGGTATGCTGGCTGAATTACATGGTGGCCATTTTGAATTTTTCAATTTGGCGTTTGGCGGCCATTTTGAATTTTTCAACTTGCTCCAAATTGACCAAATTTTTTTTTTAAAAACATCTACAAGTTCTCAGAAGTTCAAATCTGACCTTAGATTTCAGATTTGACCTTTCGTTGACCTTCAGTGGCCTTGAAAAGGTCAAAAATTTGATTTTCTAAATTGATATTTTGGATTTAAATTTAGGTCAGCTAATTACAAAATTTTCAAGGTCGAAGGTCATCAAATTAGATCACAAACAATGTTATCTAAATTTTCCCAAAGTTCAAGACTACAAATAAATTCTTGTCATCAAAATTGCAGGAAAACCGCTAACCTTGTCAACTTGAAATGTTTACAGATGCAAGAGCAGACTAGTGCCAAGGTCTGATTAGGTTTTGGCCATGCTGGGTAAATTGCATGGTGGCCAGTTTGCTCTTCAAAGTGCGATATTTATCACTGTGTGTCTTGTTATGTCATTGGCACAATTTTTTTTGTTTGGTGGTTGGTGTGTGGCATTCAGTGTCCAGGCAGGTGATGACTTTTTGCATGTACATGCCTTGTTGGAATATGTAGACTGAACCTGGTATTGTTCCCATCTTTTTACTGTACTGATTCACATGTTTCAGGTTCACTGCTGGCAGGAGGCGTTACACAGTGCAGTTCACCACTATGGTCCAAGTGAATGAGGAGACTGGCAACAGGCGCCCTATCATGTTAGCTCTACCTACTAAGGAGGAGAAAGAGAGAGAAAAGGCCAGGAAAGAGCTTGACAAAGATGAGAAAGATGCCAAGGAAAGGCTGAAGAAGATAAGTCCTACAGATGATAGTAAGGTAGAGAGTAAGATGGACACAGATGTCAGTGAGGAACCTCCACAGGTTGAACCAATCCGTGGCCTCATGCCAGACCAGCTTGCCTCTATTGTAAGGTAAGGCAATAGAAATACTAGTATGTATACATCAAAGAGAGATTAAGCCAAACCTGATCCCAACTTCTCTGGGAATTTTAAAATGGATTATATGGCCGATGATGATAAACATGCCTAATGCTGAAATAACAGTGATACCTAAATGATAGGACTGAGGCCATCAACCTATCTAAGATAGAAGTTATACATGCGTTCAAATAAACCGTTGTTTAAGTAAATTTAATTTAAGTCTTACAGAAGAACCATGAAACATTGGCATAATTGGAACCAGGTCTTGTAATTATGTCTCTTATTTTTTCCAGGACTGCAGTTGGTTTAATCAGCATTCCAGTTGATACAGACACAGTGCATGCCACCATGAGGCTCCTGTTACGCATCACCAGAGATCACTCCTATGCTTTACAGTTCGCTGAGCTAGGGGGACACAAGTTGCTGTTGTCCCTTACTCAGGCCTCAGCCTTCCAAGGCTTCACTTCCCTTGCAACATTACTTCTTAGGCATATCTTGGAGGACAATGTGAATCTCAAATACACAATGGAAAAGGTATGGGATTCTAGCTTTTTATGTCCATCTGAATGTATATTCAACTAATACTCAATTATGTAATACTAAAGACAGAATCACTGATGATTTACGGATCCTGAAACCCAATGAGGAATCATTTTCCCGAAACTGATGGTACTGTCGTAAATTAAAAAATTCTGATTGGAACAATTTATGAAAAATATTAGCCAGTAGATATATTTGACTTCCTTGGTCCTGGAAAAATCAAAATCATGTTTCCTTTTTCTTTCATTAGGTGGTCCGTTCTTCAACCAATGGTACAGGCTCCAGTGTGACGGGGGTAGCCCAGGGGTCAATAGGCTCCAAGGAGTTCCATTACATCATGAAGCTATTGGCGCCAGCAGCCTGCAGGGACACAACATTGTTCCAAGAGGTGGTGAAGGCCCAGTTGAGGATTTCCTTACCTCCACCTTCTAAAAGAGGTAGCATTTTCTATCACATTTTTTGTTGCTATATTGTCATCGTCATGTGTTGATTTGGCTTCGGGCATACTGGGTACATTACGTAATGGGCATTTTGAATTTTTGATGAAAAAGTGCTGTATTGTCATCTTGTGCTGTTGGGTGTGTGGAGTGGGCAGTTGCCACATAAATCTTGTACCATATACTTACACACGATTAATGATTATTTTACATTTTATTTGTTTGTTCAGAGAATACATTCTCGGCTGATGATGATAAACATGCCTAATGCTGAAATAACAGTGATACTTAAATGATAGGACTGAGGCCAGAATATATATCTTCTCTTATTATTTTGAATCAGATGCGACTTCCATCTAATATGTTTAATTCTAACAAAAATGGACTATTTTGTTCATTTCAGATGAAGATGACAGTAGATTCACTGGGCCCAATGCACCACAGGTTCTCAAAGCCTTACCATTGAAACAAACAGGTGCACCTAATATGGAGGGAGTTGTGAGAGACGTCATCCATGATCTGCTCAATACGCTTGTAGTGAAATATGACAGCGGGGAGGAAGAGGAATCAAAAGGTCTGTGCATTACTGAGAAACTTCAAATGACAAAAAGTATGTTCCAAAAGTGCAATTCAAAACTGTATATGTATGTAACAAGTAATATTTCTGCACTTAGTAATTGGTTTTAAATTATGCAAGGATTTCATTTATGTACAAATCTGTGAAGAGTTTTGCTTGCGCCAGTGATGAACAAAATGCCTAATGCTTGAAATACCCATGATTTTTCAATGATAGGACTGAGGACCTGTTTAAACTTCTTCAATATACAGATAAAGCATACAAATACTACTTAAGAGGCTTGAATCACTATCATCTTGAAATCTACAAAATTCAAAGCTGTGAAATTAAATAGTTTCATTGAAGTCTATTTGTAGATTTGACTAAATAATGATGGGGCCTCAAGGATGTGGTTTTTGATTGTGTGATCAATAATCATTTTATTCACATCATATGTTGTTATTCTAATGAATCTTTATCATCTGAAATGTTGTACGTGTTGTACTGCAGCTCTAGTCTTGGACTCCACTCCTGGTCAGACATTGGCTGAGCTTGGGGACATATTGAATGATGTCATAGGCAGTCATGTGCCTCGTTCTATTGTGCGTCAAGGTAGTGCTGATAATCTCCAACAGGAAGACGATTCAGTGCTTCCAACTAGAGGCCTCATTCGACCTTCTTTACAGGTATAGTGTATACATATTAATGGTAAACTAAATTGAATTTGTTAAAGAAATTTCTCAAAATTATTGATCAAAATTTATGTGAGGAAATGAAAAAGTGTATAAAACTTGAACTCTATGATGATGATTAAAGACAAGCATATATCATAAATATCTTGATGAAATTTCCAAATGTCTGAGAGTTCTTATCTTAATATGCAGAGGAAATATTTAAACTAAACTCGTATAGAGGTATTACTACACCACATGTTTTCCAAGAGACTTTGTGTAGACTTGTATTAAAGGCTCAGTTGATTCTGGACTTGATCACTGTTTCTCTGAGTACTCAAGTTATACCAACAGTAAAACGGCCTGTACAACAGTAAAACACCCTGTAACATTACATGTACATGTATCTCACCATCCTGGTACTTATATTTTTACAGCCTGGAACTCAAGGGTCATCCAGTGATAAGAAAGATGAGGAGAAAGAGGAATCTGAGGAAGAACGCAAGAAAAAGGAGGAAGAAAAAAGGAAAAGTAAACCATTATTGCCAAAGTCTGCCATATTACGTCTACTTGCCGAGTTGGTGCGGTCATATGCTGGGTGTGCGTTACTAGTTGCTCAATATTCCTACAATGTGGGACAGTCAGATATTATTACGGAGGTATGTATGCTCTGAAATTGATTCTTCATATTTGTATTATATTATTTATGTGCCAATGATGTTAAAACTGCCTAATGCTGAAATATAAATGATACTTTAATGATAGGACTGAGACATAAGGAGATAATGTAAAGCTTTGAGAGCCATGAAATATTGTTACACTTGCTAGAACATATGAATTTGCAAATGATTATTTACTACTTGGTCAAATACTCAAATATATTGTCTTACACTACATTTTATCTTCAATTTCAGGACACTAATGTGCTCGCATTTATATTTGACCACTTACTACCCTCCTGCCAAAAGAGTGGAGACAAGGACTGCCCAGCCCTATCTAGGCTATTAATCTCCAGCCTTGCTTCATCTAATCATTGCCCTGAGGCTCAGACTGTACTTGTAAATGAGGTGAAATCTGCCCTCCCCAGGGCCCTAAACCTGCCAGAAAGTGCAGAGAAACATTCAAGGATACAGTGTCTAACTGGGATTATAAGCACGATGATAGAGTCCTGTCCAGTGCCAGGACAGGTGCCTAACCAAGTGTTTAAAGGTCAACAGAATACTATGAACAATATGGTGAAAATTATGCTGAAGCGGGGGATTGTCAGTGACCTGGCACGCATCCCTCATAGCCTGGACTTATCCAGTCCTAATATGTGTTTGACAGTGAATGCATCATTAAAGCCACTGGAGACTTTATCTAGGATAGTTAACCAGCCACAGAATGTTGTACAGAAGCCCAACCATAAGTCCAAAACTAATGTTGCTGAGGAGGCTAGGAGTGATAACACTGTGAATGAGACAAGAGAAAATAATCCTCCTCCAGGTGAGTACAACAACTATGGCAGTGATATTTCCTCTGCAGCTTATGTTGTTATAAACATAGGTAGTTTGACATTATATTTGAAAATTATGAGAATAAAATGAGAACCTATAAAGAAAAATCTTCCAAGCATTGAAGCTTAACAGTTTTGAAAAATGATTTTTGTCTTGTCGACTATTGTGCAGTTGAGAATCTAGAAAAATAGAAGTAAGTACAAAAAGACCATGGAATTCCATATTAATGTCATTCTTGCCCCATTGTTCCAAATAAAAGGTTTGTATGAAAGAAGTTTAGCTCTTGTTCATATTAAGATTTTTAGTGTTATAGTCTTTTAGTGATATTAAGATGTTGAGGGGAACACGTGGCTCATAAATAGTGCTTTGAGAGAAGGCTATTTGGTGGTGGAATTATTGCTAATGGCATTTGCTATCTATACCCTTTGGTACCTAATCTATCCCATGAATAGGTGCTAAGACCAGATAGCAAAAGCAATGCCTGCAATTCCTAAGCCATTGTGAGTTGGACCTCTCAGTGGTTCAAGATACATGCAACAGTGTTGGTGTTGTAATAAGCCAATGCTTCATACATGTTGCTCAAATTGTGTTGGGTGATATAAGTGCTAGTAAATTGCTAGGGCTTCATCAAGACATGTCGCTCAAATTGTGTTGGGTGATATTAGTGCTAGTATATTCCTAGGGCTTTATCTGGACATGTTGCTCAAATGTATATTTGGGATAGTGCTAGTATATTGCTGGGGCTTTATCTAGACATGTTGCTCAAACATGTGTTGGTGATATTAGTGCTAGTATATTGCTAGGGCTTTATCTAGAGATACTACTCAAACATGTGTTGGTGATATTAGTGCTAGTATATTGCTAGTGCTTTACATCTAGACATGTTGTTCAGATATCTATTAATTGCTGGTATAATGTGATGTTGCTCCATGTTGCTTCCAAATACATGTTGCTCAGCTATTTGTTTACTGTGCATTCATATATGGGGGATTGGGTATGGTTACATGCTTGCATATTGCCAGTGCTTGTAAATTCACATTTCTTAATGAAAACATATCCTGAATATTTGTTGATTTACAAATGTGTGCTGTAGCGTATTGTAATCTGTGGTTCAGAAAGATATGTAAATCTGCTAATACACATATGCCAATGATGTTAAAACTGCCTAATAGTGAATTATCTGTGATACTTAAATGATAGGACTGAGGCATGTCGAGGTTATTTAAATTATTTCATTAAATTATAAGATGCAATCAAAAAATCACACTTTAGTTACTGTTTCAACCCATCAACTGTTATTCATATTAAAGATGTAACTGAAACAGCCTCTACTCAAGAACAAGAGGTTAGGACTCAACAACAGGCAGAAGCTGAGCAACCAGTTGCAAGCTCCCAGGCTACCACTGTATCCACCACAGAGAGTCAGCCTATAGAAGACCCCAGTCTTGCAGTTGTGGCTGAGGATACGGAACATACAGCCCCACAGGTTCAAGATTCAGGTGAGAAACATACAAGTCTTGCATCAACTCCACATCTACACAGTGAAAATATTGAGGGATCATAGCTAGCATGTGATGGTCATATTTAACAGAGGATAGGACTTAATCTATCTTTCAGCCGATGATGTTAAAATTGCCAAATAGTGAATAATCTGTGATACTTAAATGATAGGACTGAGGCACAACAATATATAATGAAACATAGTCACTGACCATCTTGACTGAAATGCATGCATATGTATTTTCTTAAATAATTAGAGCAATTATATTATGATACATACATTTGTTACTAAACTGTGTCCTCAATGTACCATTAGGTGAAAAACAAATTGATATTTAATGTTGTAGGTGTGAGTGATGATCATATTAGGGTAGAGAATGAGTTGGAACATGTGCTTGATCAACTGATTGACAACAGGAGGCAGAATAGGAATGCTCAACTGGAGTGTATTCTCATGGAGGGTGAGTAGAGAAATGTTAATTTCATAGCACTTGTTTAGAACTATATTGTTGTTGTCTTGTGTTGATAGGCGTCAGTGTCTTGTTTATTAAATTCTCATCATATGAATCTACCCTAAGAACCATAGCTATATTGGAAAATGAGAATCTAAAAATTATTTTTCAATTAGCAAAAAATGTACCCCAAAACTTTAATACTTGTATGTACTAATTACAATGTCAACGAATGTAATGTGATTATCTGAATGTAACAACTCTGTGATGATTAATAAAGACAAGCATATATCTGAAATATCATGCGGATTCATTATTTCAACTGAGAGTTGTTTCTGTTCATGCATTGTTTATGTCCAAGTGCACAAAGTCAAGAAAGCCCTGTATCTTGCCACATTAAGAATCAGTGATGGTTGTTACAGACTAGAATCAGTGATGGTTGTTACAGATTAATGTCCCCTTAAGTCTATGTGATTTTGAAAATTATTGGACAATCGGCCCAAGCAATAAAGGCCAAGATATTCCATCACACTTATTCAAGTTGAAGCATTTCTTAGTGCTGTTCAAAAGACTGATTGTTATGTTTTGCTTTGTTTGATTTCAGATGATGATGTGGTTGATCAGGAGAATGACAATGTTATTCTAGATGTGGCTGGTGATGACGAGGACGATGCACATGATTCACAGATGATCACACAAGACATTTCAGATGATGACATGCCTGAACACACTCAAGGTGAGTTTTTCAGTATTTGTATAACTCAACTGCTATCTCAACCTTTTGGCATATATTCTATACCTTGAATAATTTGCTCAGAATTGATAGCAACATTGAATGCCTGTAAATCAAGCCATTGTGACCTATGTCATTGTGGTTCAAGATACATGCAACATGGCTCAGTTGGTAAACTCTCAGTGTCCGAGAGATCAATTTACATCAAAATCAGGCTCAATACCCTAGTTTGAATTTTTTTTCATGTAACCTTTATTTTGTTGTTGTAGCAGACCAGGAGGATGATGACTCAAACAGTGACGAAGATGATGACGACGACGACGATGATGGCCCAGAAGATGATGAAGAGAATGACAACGATGAGGACGACGATGATGTTGAAGAAGAGGATGACGATGATGAAGGAGATGACTACAGTGAGGTATGGATGGTAATATTGATTACAGGACAACCAAAAAGTTAATCATTGTGACTAACTGAATGTCAATGACTGCTATCTCAACCTTTTGGCATGTATTCGCTGCTTTGAATAACTTGCTCAGAATTGATAGCAACATAATATGCTTGTAAATCAAGCCATACTAACTTGTGTTCTTATGGTTCAAGATACGTGCAACACCTACTCTGTTAAATCAACTAGAGCTGTAATTTTATCTAAATGAGAATAAGGGACTCTCCCTTGAGTTGGTTGATGTAATCTGTAAAACTGAGATTTAGACAAGTATTTTATTTGAGATATCCAATCTGGGATTGCATAGTCACATAACTGAAACTGGCCAATCAGATACATGGATTTGCGACAATCTGGTGAGAATGTTGTCAAACTAAGTTTCATGCTCACAGTTCTAATCACATATCAGATGATTCGGCTTGATTCAAGTTTCATATTAAGTGTTATTGGTGTCTTTTAGGGCTCTGACATGGAGGGTATAGATCTCGAGGGTATGGATGATGACTACCTAGACATGGAGGAGACCATGGTCCGCATGAATGATGACGATGATCTCTTTGTACAACTGGAAGACATGTTTCCAGCACATGGTAAGTTGTCTGTATAGAAAATGTTCATAGGATTCAGCAACAATAGATTAGAGCAAGCTACCGGAAGATATTGAAATAACATACTCATTTATGGCTTCTAAACTAAGAGGGAGATAATTTAATAGTTATTATGTCCCCACCACATAGTTTGGGGCCATATTGTCGGCCTAGCGTTTGATTGTGGAACAAACTGCAACTTTCTGGTCAATAACGACAACAGCATGTGCAATACCTAAATTGCTATCTCAACCTTTTGGCATGTATTCTCTACCTTGAATAATTTGCTCAGAATTGATAGCAACATTATATGCTTGTAAATCAAGCCATTCTGACTTGTGTTCTTATGGTTCAAGATACAAGCAACATCATTATTTTGCAAACTTTGTACCAAATGTATAATCATTGGATAGAGCTGTACAAAAAAATTATAAAAGCATTGAATCAAACTGAATGATCAAATCTTTGATCTGAAGGTTCAAGAATCAAGATCTTTAGTTCAACAAATAAACTGTAATCTCGAGATTTGTTTAATATTATCATGTGTATGTTTCAGTTCCCAGTCAGCATCTGATATTCGGAGATGCCCATCACTTGAGGACGTATAACCTGCCAATAAGTGTACATGATGACAATAATGGCAATGAGCTTGCAGGTAGGATTCCTATAACATTGATGTAAAAAAATTATTCAGAATCAACTTGAAAATCCTTTTGTGCCCAGTTGCGACTCTGAAAAATCATGAAACATTAAGATGATTTGAGATTTTTTGCTGGATTTTTTGAAATCAGGATTGTTCGTACTGTTAAATCCCGATGATCCTAACCTGAACAAGTCTATAGATGTGATATTTGTTGATATGTATCTGTGATTTAGAAGCTCTTAGACCTACTGGTCAATATTCAATTGATTTTCATCATTTGCCATGTTTTATTCTTAAACATGCTGAAAAATGCCTGGTGCTTTATCTCACCATTTCAATGATCCTACATACTCTATTCTATTGTACTTAAGGACCATCAGTACCACCCCCTCCCAGCAATGTTCTCTCTAGTCACCCCCTGCTGAACCGCAACAGTGATGCCCAGGGGAGCAGCTCCTCATCCAGGCCATCTGCCCAGGTCAGAAGACAGAGAGGGGGAACATACAGGTATGACAGGTACTGGTATATCACATATACTCGATGTGTCATTCTTAATGTGAGTTTTGAATGTACTTTGTTGTAAGCTTTGAATGTACTGTGTTGACACCAATATTGTATTGTGTTTTGAAATCTGTAGTATGAAATGTAGCTTGATCTGTGGTAATACAGTCTTTTCTTTACTGTGTGATTTTGAAATGTTATTTGTTGTGGTAGTACATTTACTGTGGCATGTTCATTAGATGTAGCATGATATGATGTCGGTTTGAAATAAAGAGATTGTTTATTGTGTCGTGTTTGATTATTGCTTTGCACATTGCAAAATATTATTCACAAAGCATTTTGTATCTCCAGGCCACATAGATAAGTGTGGGGTTTGGTCGAATGAATGCAATAGTAACGCAGTGACCGCATCGTTGGGTGTATTCTGTTTTTCATGAGGATCACCCTGGTATTATTCTGCAATATGATTACCAGTTTTGTCTGGAATTTTTAGAATGAATTCAACAGTATAATTGCTATAATCTCGTTCAGTGGGTCATTTATTAAAAAAAAGATCTTGGGAAAAAAGTAATTTTCAAACCTTACTTCTAGAGTCTCACTTCTATGATAAGGAATGTGAATAAACATGTGAGGAATCTTGTTTTCTATGTCCAATATGTGATACTTACACGTACTCTTGTATTCTGTAGGTATAACCCCAGTACACAGACTCTACATGTCCACTATACAGCAGGTGGCCACAGACATCCTAACCCACCAGTCATCTTACAGAGGTCAGTAAACCCATTATAAAGAGCTTGGTCTTGACCTTAAATTAGACTTTATACCTTTTCAAAGAAGTAATGATATATTCTTGTTAATGCCATCATTTTGTGATACCACAGCTATGATTACATTCATGATTCTAACAAAACTTTCAATCAGATGTTGGTTTCGATAAGTGAAAGAAAATTCACCCACCTTCACTAATTCATTGATGTTTAAGATCAGAACCCTCAACAAGCAAAATGAAATAGAAATCATAAAATTGTGCAGAACCACCAGTACAATGGTTCCCCTTGTGTTTGTAGGTTGCTTGGCCCATCTGCAGCAGCTGATGTATTGAATCTCTCCAGCCAAGTGGGTCACCTTGGGAATGCACATGCTCGGGTACTTGTAGCTAATGAGGGTCTTGGGAGGGTACTACATCGCAATGAAGATGATATGTTTGAAGACCTCTTTCAGGTATTAACCCTCCTGGGGTCTGGCAACCAACTCTATTTATACATGTTCTAATGAAATATTAGTCTTTTAGTCTGAAATGTTGTATATCAATGAAAGTGCAATTTTTTGGCCAGGTTGTGTATGTGTATCCGTAATTCTCTAGAAAATATGTGATTTTCAATCAGGGTTTTACAGATACATAAACGTGGGGCTAAAAAACGTAATAGAAGGTAGAAATTGGTTTAGACCTGCCGCTCCAACACTGCTAATAAATCAGTTGATTTAGGGGTTCTCGAGATATTAAGTAAAACATCACTTGACAGTGTATTTTTCGTTGTTGTTTTTGTTGTCCTAAATTAATTCAATGGAAGAACATGTGTAGATATGGTTGTCTTGAAAACTGATGTATGACTATTGATGTATGCATGCATTTGACCTAGAAGGGTTAATTCTATGAAATAGCAATTCTTACATATTGTTATTCAGTGTAAATGTTTTTGACTACCCTATTGTTGTTTTATATTTTACAACACCATATTCGCTATATTTTTTTGTGAGTTTTGTGACCATTACTCAGTTCTTTATATCCAGTGTAACTCCCATTTCAGTGTAATTTTAAGGAATTAGGTTGTTATTGTGGGGAATATGGTGAAATCTGTAAGAAAGACACCTTAATGTTTGGATATTATTTGTATGTAAATATTAAGATAACTACATTTAAGAATCTTGAATTAATAAATTTGATGGCTTGTAATGATGAATACACAGACCTGTCCTGAATACATCTGATGTGAAAATATCTCAACCTGAACAAGTCTCAAATCTAACCAATTAATAATTTGTAATAATTAAAGTGTTACATTCTTATTCAACCAACCAACATCCATATATATTAATAAAGAATCAGCTGAAGAGAAGACAAACATTATCAAACTTGAGTGCATCTACAACTAAGTTGAAAAAAAAGATTTCCAGTCCAGAAGTACATTTTAGTACACAGTTGCTCCAAAGAAACTGAAACCTTTCAATTGAATTCTCATCCTGATTCTCGGCCTAGTAGAAGATGTAGAATGTAGATGCACTCAAGGAAACTGATGATATATTTTCTATGTATGTGTGTGTTTAGGATGCCTTTGGTGAGGCTACTGGAAATGGCTCTGCTGTGTTAGGGAGTATACCTAATGCCCTGGGACGTTGGATGGAAGAGTCGAGAGTGTTAGATGGCAACAGCATGCACGATGCGGTCACTAGTATGTCTTTTATACATATTTAATTCTCTGCCAGTCACAGTTGTGATTTAAAGGTCTCAAGTGAATTACAAACTAGACTGTCTGAATGTTGTTTTCTGTTATTAGTTTGTGTAAAGTAAAACTATTGGTTCAATGTATCAAGATGTTTCTTTGCAACCTTGTAATTGTACTAAAACACTTGAGTTTGCCAGATTACTCATTTTACTTAGTATTCGAAAAACAACTCCAATATAGGTGTGCCTTGAACTCTGGGATGATTAATAAAGACAAGCATATATCTGAAATATCTTGTGGATTCATTATTAAGTCTGAGAGTTCTTGTAGGGAATGTTGATTCATAATGTGACTGTTTGAAGCTGTTGAAGCAACATGTCACAGATGAAAACTATTGTTTTGAAAAAACTTAACTGCTTAACCAAGAAATAGCTTTTTGAAAAAGGACTCGTAAGATATTGAATAGATATCTCAAGCAGTGTCAATATTGAATAATAATGTACAACATATTCAATATTCACCTTTTTGATATTGCAGTCCTGAAGCCAGATCTGTTGGGTGACCTGGAAAAGCATAGAGATTCTGAACTGGCTGACCGTAAGGAGAAGAGGAAGAAGACCGAAGGGGAGGAGGCTTCCAAGAAAGAAAAAGACGGCAAGGATGCGGCTCAGAAGGCTGATACTACAATTGAATGGAGTTCCCCTAATAGCACTGCACAGGTGGGTATATACTCTTAAGGAACTTATTATAAAGATAATTTTTAATGATGGATTTATTGAATTTCTATTTATGTTTTTCGACCTACTATTTTCTATGTTGTCTAGGCAATACATGAATAAGAGAATTAGTATAGCTTCATAAGATAACAGGCTTTCTCCCGAAAAAAGAAAACAGTATAATCTCTGATAGCACAAAGAAAGTACACTTGTTGAATGTGAATATTTTTCAGACCCAAAGTACAGCTGCAGCAGCAACATCAAGTCCATTTGAGCAATCTGCTACATCATCAGCTTTAACTGCAGTCAGCAATGCTCTCAACTCACTTGCTTCTCTTTTGCCATCAGCAAATCCTACAATACAAGGTCAGTAATCTGGTCTTAACACTAGAGAACTAGAATGAATTAGATTGCATATAGATGCAGATCAGCATATTGGGTCAAGATCTTTTGTCTGTGATTTGTGAGAACATTTGAAAAGCTATCTCAACCTTTTGGCATATATTCTATACCTTGAATAATTTGCTCAGAATTGATAGCAACATCAATTGCCTGTAAATCAAGCCTTAGTGACTTGTGTCACTCTGGTTCAAGAGACACGCAATATATAAAACAAGAAGTTGAACATGTTTCTTATCTTTAAAAAATGACCAGCAAGTTTTTAATGGATCACCTGATGAATTAAAAGTGGCAGTGGTGTATGACTAGCAGTAAAACAGAGCTTAGCTCAGTCCCTGTGTATAGTTTCTTTAAAACTTCAACTTTGAGAGGTGTCCCTTGAAACCAATTATCCTAAAATGCAGTATTAGACACCTTTGGGGTAGGAGAATCTTGTGCCTATGTGAAATTACAATAATGGGTGAACTCCGCAATATCTAACATACAATGCTTAATGGGTCTGGATAATCAAGATAACAAGACCTCTTTACATTCCATAATATTTTGCATATATTCTGACATTGAAGATGAGCAATGGACAATGCAGCTTACAATTCAAATGTCACCAGTTTAAAGATAAGAATATATAGTTATGTTGTTGATTTCCAGCAAGATCAACTGAATCTGCAGCAGAATCTTTAGCTACAGCCATAGTTGAGAGTGTATTGTCTACTTCTACATCTGCTGCAACCACTGTTAGTAGTTCTGCTGGCGCTCTCCAGGGTGCACCATTGATGACATCATCAGTTGACCCTACCCTGTTACAGACTCCTGCATCCCTTATCCCTCAGACCACCCCTGCAGCTCCTCAGATAGCCCAGCATCTTGATGAGCAGGTATGTATCTGTTAGTAGCTTATGCCTATATATGGCAATGTTTCGATAAGTCAGTATGTCAGTAAATTGTTCTATATATGGCAGTATTACATACCCAGCGAAGCATTTGTATTGAAGTCAATGGAGCTGAAGGTCGGCTATATATTCCTGTATAGCCGTCAAACTTTTTACCATGACAATCTTATGACGTCATCGGGACGTCATGTTTCATTTCTTCCTAATTTCACTCGCACACAGACACGTGGCGTCATTGATATAACGTAGCCATGATATAAAAGTATGTAATACAACAGTTATGTCCGTATCATTGAATATATGCCTTCGGTCTGTCGTAATATAGCCCTCGCAAGCTCGGGCTATATTGGTGACAGACCTCAGGCATATATTCAATGATAGGGACATAACTGCTAAATATGTCACTAAATCATGTCTATATTTAGCAGTTATGTCCCTATCATTGAATATATGCCTGAGGTCTGTCACCAATATAGCCCGAGCTTGCGAGGGTTATATTACGACAGACCGAAGGCATATATTCAATGATACGGACATAACTGTTGTATTACATACTTTTATATCATGGCTACGTTATATCAATGACGCCACGTGTCTGTGTGCGAGTGAAATTAGGAAGAAATGAAACATGACGTCCCAATGACGTCATAAGATTGTCATGGTAAAAGGTTTGGCGGCTATACAGGAATATATAGCCGACCTTCAGCTCCATTGACTTCAATACAAATGCTTCGCTGGGTATGTTATACAAGGCAATATTTTCCACTAGCACAAAGATCTCTGCTGAAAGAAACTGAGATTTAATTTGCTAATATGAATTGCTGTTGACTTGTTATGATGAACACACAGACCTGTCCTGAATACATCTGATGTGAAAATATCTCAACCTGAACAAGTCTCAAACTTAATGACCACTTTGACAATGTTACATGGAACTTCATTTTGAATGTTGAATATTAATGAATTCCTGGATGTTTTAGATTGCACCGACTCCTGCCATGGCAAACCTCCAGCCAATGGAGACCCCTTATCTAAGATCTGAAGTACTAGAGACACCTATGGAGACAGATGCAAGAGGAGCTAATGCCAACACCCAGCCCATTGATTTCTCTAGTATACCATTGCCACCTGCCACTCAAGGTAAGTGTCAAACTTCAGTCTAAGTTGAGCTGGAATTAATTTAGCATTCAAACTTAACCATCATCTTGGAATAGTAATGCTGTGTGCTATTTACAAATATGGGTGGTACTATAATTTCAATGGCAATAACTTAATATGGCATAGGATGACAATAATGAAATGGGAATTTTGACACAACCCCTTTGTGTAATGTTTTACACTAGGTTCCCCTAAATATGATGTTTTACACTAGGTAACTCCTAAATATGATATTTTACACTAGGTGTGAGTGGTGTGACAAGTGGTTGGTCAAGTACAGATACCATTGAGCAGACTCAACAAGTGTTTGCTGATGCTGTAGAGGAGGCAACAAGCAGAGTGTTCAACCCTCTCATCACTCCTGAACCTTCCAGTTTTACCAGCTCTGGAGATGCAGTCACTATACACTCCACAGGTAACACACATCTCTAACTTTACTCCTCCCTTGATAGTCGGGTTTGAATAGGAGATAAGTTCACAGAATATTTCAAAAATATATAGAAGCAATCTTTAGGTGGATTTCGTAACTTCATACCATCCTTTTGAATACCTGAAGTGGCACCAAGCAATCCATTGACTGTTTCACCAAAAATCCAAGATAAGCCAAACCGTTTAAGCCTTACTTAAAAACCTAGTACATGTAGTCTGAAAAGTTTATGGATGCTCGTGTGGAAACTAAATGATGATTAATAATGACAAGCATATATCATAAGTTTATTGCTGGTGCATTATTTTTCTGATAGTTCACTGGACTTTATAGTGTAAATATTTTGATATCAGATGTATCATATTTACAGAGGTCTTCAAAGTTAGATTCAATGACTGCTGCCTGCTATTTAATTAAGGACTCTTTGCAACTACATCAGGCCCTAGTACATGTATAAGCCCATTTTAAACTACCATTCATTTAATGTTTAATTTATGTCTCCAGGTAGCAGCTCGGAGACACCTAGCACAGGTGATGAGTCATCTGACCAACCAGTGTCCAGTACAGACTCTGTCATGTCAACAGCAACAACCTCAGTTAGTCAATCAACAGGCACAGTGACGAGTACCACAGCTTTAGTGACGACTACTAGCAGTGTGACAGCGAGCACATCTAGTGGGGCTGGCTCATCAACAGGGCAGTCAGGTACATTTGCTAAGTTTTAAATTGCCATGAAGAAAAACTGGCATTCGATGTTCAGCATCTGTGTTCTGTTCTCTGTTGGCATATGTAATATATTGTGAATAAAATCATATTGCCGAATGACTTAAATCCTTAAAAATTTTCACTTTATGACAGGTGGCATCATTAGTAGGAAAACTGAGTTAGTATCACCATAATTTTGAATTTTAAAACAAAACTGGCGAATAAATTGTTTAAATCAACATAATGAACTCCATGATGATGAATAAAGACAAGCATATATCATAATAACATTGATGATGTATTATTTTGTCTGAGAGTTAAACTCATATATTGTGAATACTTTCCCAAAATTAATCATGGAAATAATCTACTCCGTCAAAAAGCCTCATGTACATTTTGATCTTCTAGGAGGAGATTTACCAGAGGGGGTCGATCCCTCATTCTTAGCAGCCCTCCCAGAGAGTATCCGCCAGGAAGTGATTGCAGAACAGTTGCGTCTCCAGCGTATCCAGGAGCGTGCCCAAGAGCAGAATCGACAAGCAGGAGAACAAGGGGCTGGAATCGGGGAGGTGAATGCAGAATTCTTGGCAGCATTACCGCCATCTATTCAAGAAGAGGTACAAAAAAATTATTTTGTGATTACATTCTATCTGTTGAGAAATACAATCCAGGGAAATAAGCAAATGCAAAATGTAAATACATGGATTATTACTTGTCATTTAGGTGCTGGCCCAACAAAGAGCAGAGCAAGCCAGACTTCAAGCAACTGCAGCCCCACCTAATCCTGAGACACCTGTCGATCCAGCAAGTGTCCTAGCCTCTCTTCCACCATCGCTACGGCAACAGGTTCTGGCTGATATGGATGATAGCATGGTAGCAGTTCTCCCTGCAGAGTTAGCAGCTGAGGCACAGTCCCTGCGGAGAGATTTAGAGGAACGACATCGACGCTTGATGCAAGACAGATTATTTGCCAGTGCTGGTGCTGGTCAGTTGTCAGCTATTTTACGGCATTCAGGCAAGACTACTCCTTGTTAGAGATCCTTGCAACTCTCCTGATTGGAGATCCCTGCAACTCACTCCGTGTTAGAGATCCTTGCAACTCACTCCGCGTTAGAGATCCTTGCAACTCTCCTCATTAGAAATCCTTGCAACTCACTCTCGTTAGACATAGTTGCAACTCACTAGTTGTTAGAGATCCTTGCAACTTACTCCATGCTAGAGATTCTTGCAACTCACTCCTCATTAGAGATCCTTGCAACTCATTCTTTATTAGAGATCCTTGCATCTTACTCCTCATTAGAAATCCTTGCAACTCATTCCTAATTAGACATCTTTGCAACTTACTCCCCGTTAGAGATCCTTGCAACTTGTTCCTCGTTAGCGATCATTTCAACTCATTCCTCATTAGAGATCCTTGCAGCTCACTCTTTGTTAGAGATCCTTGCAACTCACTTCTCATTAGAGATCCTTTCAACTCATTCCTCATTAGAGATCCTTGCAGCTCGGCTCCTCAAAAGAGATCCTTGCAGCTCACTCTTCGTTAGAGATCCTTGCAACTCACTTCCCATTAGAGATCCTTGCAATTCACTCCTTGTAAGAGATCCTTTCAACTCAATCATTGTTAGAGATCCTTGCAACTTACTATTCGTTTGTGCAACTCACTCCTCAGAGATCCTTGCAACTATACTCCAGTAAAAGTCTGCAACAGCAAATAGATCCTCAATTTTGATTTCTTTGTATAAACACCAAATTTGTGTATCCTTCAATTCCAAGGTCTTGCAACACCAAATTAGCTTCAGCTTTTTACAGTAACCTCTTTCAAATGACATAGAAAATCTATTTCGTAGTATCTTAATTTTGAGAAAACAGTGCTCATTTTGTAATAATGTTGGTACAACTAGATTAGCTCAAACTATTCATTCTGTTTTATTTCTTTTAGAATTTTTTTGTAAATTGTGAATGAACGTATATTCTTATTCCAGGTTTGGCAGGTCGATTAGGTACACGTCATACAATCCGTGTCCCCACAAGACATGGTACACAGTGGACCTGGGGTAACAGAGGGGGGCAGGGCTCACAGGCCGCAAATGCTGCAGCATTACGTCTAAGAGGGCGTCACCTATTGGATCACGAAGCTCTAACCTGCCTCTTAGTGTTACTGTTTGTAAATGAGCCCAGACTGAATAAAATTCGACTTCAGCGGGTGTTTAGAAATTTATGTTATCACACCGCAACAAGACAGTGGTTGATACAAGCTTTATTGTCAATTTTACATCGGACTAGTGAGTGTAAAGTCGAAGGGGAAATAGCAGCTGTTGAGACAGCTGGTCCAACTACTGGCAAAGTTAGTGATAGACTGAAGAAAAAATCTAGTCAAAGCAGTCAGCATGTGGGGGGTGCAGCCAGTCAAAGTAACAGCCAAGAGGCTTCTGTGCCTGGTGCGTCATGGATGGATTCACGCAGTGGCCAGCAATCATGGTTATCTGTGAGTCTGGATGCAGCTCTTGGCTGTCGGACAAATGTCTTCCAAATACAACGGAACAGCACAGCCCATGGCAGAAAAAGTTCTAGCAATTTAAACTGTAATACAAGTGTTAGTATTCACCATCAGGCATCTCCCATGGTGTGTAATCATGTCCTGGAGGTACTCATGACACTTGCTAAAACATTTCCCAATGAATTTCTACCACAATTTAACAATAAGGCAAAAGAAGCAACATGTGATGGAGATAAGGGAGACAAAGGAGAGAAAGACTCTGACCATAATAAATCGCGGTCTAATCAATCCAGTCCCGCGAAAGCTGCCAAACATGATAAATCCACTACAGAACAGCGAGATAGTTCTAAAACAGATTTAACAACTGGCACAGACTTTTGGGATTTATTAGTGAAACTAGATCAAATAAGTACCAGTAAAAAAGGAAAAGGCATTCAGAAAACGCATTCAAATTCTCCATCAGAAACAGATATGAGTGTAACAAACTTTGAATCGTCACCGGTTGGTCAGTTGATGATGATGCTGAGCCATCCAGTGATGAAACGCAACCAAGAGTTGACAGATAAACTGTTGAGGTTGCTGTCATTGAGTGCTATGGGGATATACGATTACATTCAGAAGTACTTGCCCAGTACAGCCAGTAGCACAACTACTACAGCAACTAATACAACATCTATAGCAAACAATACAGGTAAGATACTAACTTTGGAATAATGAGACTTGATTTCCCAAATCTTTGGTCAGTGGGAGAAACCCTCACTAACTTTGAAATGATAGCCACTCAGTTTCTCATTAGTAAGGAGAGACCTTTATGAAGAGCATATTGGTCCTTTGCATAATATTCCAATGCGATGAGCATTCAACATAGATGCATGTTTGATAAATGCAGTTATCTCTGAGCATCATCCTTGTATCCCACTTGGCTTTTGGCATTCCACTTTTTGTCATCGCAATTCAGGTGATGCCATTTCATCATGTTAATTGTTATGTAGGTGCATCAAATACCCAAACCACTAGTACGACTACATCTACAGGCACTATCACATCTGCAGTGGCTGCCTCTCCTCTCATAGCTCAAGAGCTGACACAGGGTGATCTCAATGAAACTATGGACACATCCTCCCCTCCAACAGGTATGTGACTATGTCGCAAGTACATGGGTTGTATTAAAAATTAAGTAACCACTGGAGCAAGTCTTTGGCGTCACTAGCAGACACTGATCAAGTTTCAAGGGAAAATTTTAAAATAGCTCAAAAATACTGTACATTCATTATTAGTGCTTAAAGCTAGCAGCATTTTGTATCTCCAGGCCACATAGATAAGTGTGGGGTTTGGTCGAATTAATGCAATAGTAAAGCAGTGACCGCATCGTTGGGTGTATTTTCTTTCCAATGAAAATCATCCTGGTATTATTCTGCTACAGAAATCTGAATGGGATTATTTGCATCGCAGCTTGTTTTTACTCTGGTAAAACAACTAAATGCAATGTTTGGGTTTTATTGAATTACTCTTCAACAAGGTTCAGCCTTTGACATGTGCAAACAATTTTTTTACAAAATGGCATATAATTGAGTGAAATGTGTATGTCAATATTTTCAGACAACCTTACCTCTACTCCCGTTCCCAACAAACCTCCCAAAGAACTTGATCAACAACAAGAGGAAGAAAAAAGGAAAAAAGATGAAGAAGAGAAAAGGAAAAAAGAAGAACAGGCAAAATTGAAGGCTGAGTTAGAGAGACCTGTTTTGGAAGCTCAATTACCTTTAGCAGTACAAGTAAGCCAAAAATTTTGCTGACTTTGGGGTTTGATGAATATATGTGTGCTATTGAAGCATTTTGTATCTCCAGGCCACATAGATAAGTGTGGGGTTTGGTCGAATGAATGCAACAGTAATGCAGTGACCGCATCGTTGGGTGTATTTTCTTTTCCTTGAGAATCATCCTGGTATTATTCTGCAACACAAGATACCTTGAGTTCGTTATTGGTTATATAACAGAATGCAGTTACATGAAATAGCGTGTTCTGATTGGCTGTAATTGGATACACCTTGCCTAGCTATGAGATACTACTTACTTCTTTAATGTAATATACATACTTGCAAAGTATACATATATTTTACAAATTATGTATTTATTTCAGGTTCTAACTTCAAAATCATGTTCAGATGGAGGTTTGGAGGATGCGACTAATCTCTTGCTTCAGATATCACGCTCAAATAATGCCACCCGCGATTCTGTGCTCCATCTCCTCATAGGTGGCGCTAAAGACCTTGGTTGTACAGTTTGCGTCCACATAAGGTGAATTTTCTGATTTGTCATTTTGGTGATATATACGAGAGCATATAAAAAGTATGTCATTTGTATAAGTGATGTTCTAATTGTTGGTTTCATAATTGTGTTTATAGTTACCAAGTCTTAAAGCATTTTGTATCTCCAGGCCTCATAGATAAGTGTGGGGTTTGGTCGAATAAATGCAATAGTAACGCAGTGACCGCATCGTTGGGTGTATTCTGTTTTCAATGAGGATCACCCTGGTATTATTCTGCTACAGAAATCTGAATTTTTACCCCCTAATATAATGCCCTTTAAAATATTGCTACAGAGTGACTTGTTTAAATATTGTTGGCTTTAAAGGTTTGATGTAACTTGTTTATATTTCAGAGCTCTACTGAGTGAGCTGATAGAGTTGAACAGTAAGGTGAAGGGAGAAGGAGAGGAGGGAGATGAGGACGGTGTAAACCAACAACAGCCTCAGAAAGGCATCATTCCAGACAGGTACACTCTCATTATCACTTCATTTCCAAATCATTTTGAATGTATATAAAAGTACTAAACCTTTGTCCACTTTGTTTAATTGGATTCAAGAAATAATTTTATGTAACAGTTGCAATGCAGATCCTGTCCTCCACTTTCAATGTGGGTTGACATCTACAAACATTGCCACATAAATTAGGAGGACGATCTTGATGGACGCTTTCTATTGTGTTCACCGTTAGGAACACCTCCTGACATAAGACAACACCAAATTAATTTTTGTATAGGTATAAATAGATTCACATCTATTGTACTTTGATCAGTCTTTCATCACAAATTAAGATTTTCTCCATAAATGATTTCCAGGTATACAGGTACAAGCACAGTTGTGGCTACACCAGGTAAGATGAAAGTTGGTAGTGAGCTGCATCTGCCCTCTATGAGTCTACTCACCAGTAACACATCCAGCCAACAGTTCCTGCTACGTATTCTAAAGGTCATCATACAGCTCCGCGAACAGGCTAAACTAGCTGCGAAGAAAACGAAGAAATCTGGTATGTACAGAAGTAGTTTTATGCATGAGTTCAACTTTCTTCACACCTCATTTTGAGGTAATTCTTTAATACCCCAATTAATGAAGTTTGGTAGGGATATTGTGAAGCCCTTCGTCCATCAGTCCATCCCTTCGGAAAATAACTCGAATACTAATGGATAGATTTTCTTTATATTTGATTGAAAGATGTATAATATTGGTAAATAGTTTTATGCAAAAGTTTTTCAAGATGGCCTGCATTTTGAGTTGTTTCTTGATGGAACAATTTATACAGACTTGTATACATGTATCGTGAATCTATGAATTGCAATGCAGATCCTGTCCTCCACTTTCAATGTGGGTTGACATCTACAAACATTGCTACAAAAATGAGGAGGACGATCTTGATGGACGCTTTCTATTGTGTTCACCGTTAGGAACACCTCCCAACAAAGATTAATCACTGAGCTTGTTTATAATTGAATTATGACAAATAAATTATAAATCCTTCAATCTCCTGTAAGAAATGAGAACCATCAATGTTCATCACAGTGATTTGAGGACCATTTTCTTATCCTATATCAGTGATCTCCCCAGCATTAAAGCAAGTTGGCGCAGCACCAACCTGAGATTTTGATAATAGGCTTGCACCCACCTTAGATTCCATTTGCACCCCCTTGAAAATGAGAAAAATCATGACAAATGGGCATATTTTGACCAATTTTGTTCTGAATTGTGAAATTGAGAATTTTGCACCCATTTGAGGAAAAATCCGGTGAAGATCACTGTTATGCTTAAATCTTGGCTACTTCATAGTGAAAATACCCTGAAATTTTCAGAGCTGCGTGAGATCAGTGATGCTATGGCAGTGATAGAGGCAGATCTTGATGAAGACCAGATGCTGGAGTACCAGGCCAGTACGTCTGGACCACCACCAGGTGGTAGCACTGGCTCTGGGGGTGCCCCTAGTAGCAGCTCAGTAGACAGCCCCATGGATGTTGATCAACCAGGTACTACTATATTACTTGTTCTTGACATATACTCACAAGAATGGTTAACTTGATTGCTCTAAAACATATAACATTGTTTTGTTTGAAACATTGAATCCTTTGCTCCATTCACAGAAATATATCACAATGCAATGCAGATCCTGTCTTCCACTTTCAATGTGGGATGACATCTACAAACATTGCTACAAAAATGAGGAGGACGATCTTGATGGACGCTTTCTATTGTGTTCACCTTTAGGAACACCTCCCAACATCTAATGTCAACCGATATGCTATGACATTTATGGAAAGTACCATGCCCTCAAGAAATGTACTGTTAACCAAAAAAGTAATTTATATGTATATTCAATATTTTCCAACTGAAATATGTTTGCAATTTTACAGCATAATTTATGTTTAAAGATTAGTTCTTTTTTCACCAGGGTCATCAGGGTTACAAGAGCAACCAAAGGTGTCCAGTAAGACAGATATAGAGAATGTATTACCACGCTTGAGTGAACAGTTAGCCTTGGAGGAACTCTGGGATAGTCTTGGGGAGTGTTTGACTGAACTTGGGCGCACAAAAGATCATCATGCTGTACTTGTTCTTCAACCAGCAGTGGAGGCATTCTTCTTGGTGCATGCAGGTATTTTGCTTTTATCTGGCTAAAGTTGAATTTCTGCATAAGGTGCATGGCACAGATTACAGCTTTAACAATGACCTTGAAGTTTAATTTGTTCAATTTTGGTGTAAAGTTAAAATTGTGTTTCAAGTCAATTCAAATATGTAGGTATTTAGACGACTTTTTGACTACACCCATGATCACTATTGCAATATTCATTCAACTTGCAGGTGAGAAGGATCCAAACAAACCTAAAGACAATGAGCAACAGAAACGTGAAGATCTCCTTACTCACTTGAATGTGGACATGTCTGCTCCCCTCTCCCCTGCCATGTCTAGTAGCATTGATAACCTTGGGGCCCTCACCAGGGAGAACTCTGTGGTGTCTGTCAGTTCTATGGCCAACTTACCACCCGATACACTCAAGTTCCTAAGATTTGCAGGTAACCATCTTCCTCCATCTTTTGCTTATTTAGGTCCATGTTGTTAAAATTAATGTCTGAAGTATAAATCTGGATAAATAGTTTGAAGATATGTTTAGTTATTTTGAAATGATTTGAATTAGACAACTACCAAGAAATGCATAAATCGATTTGTTCCCATATATCTCCTCTTATTTCAGAGACTCACCGTACAGTCCTCAATCAGATCCTCCGTCAATCCACGACTCCTCTTTCAAAAGGACCATTCTCAGTCCTCGTTGATCATACCAGAATCCTTGATTTTGACGTGAAACGGAGATATTTCCGTCAAGAGCTTGAGAGAATGGATGAAGGGATAAGACGTGAAGATCTCGCTGTGCATATACGTCGTGATATGGTATTTGAGGATTCATTCAGAGAGCTTCATAGACGCAATGCTGATGAGTGGAAACATAGGTTCTATATTGTCTTTGAGGGTAAGTAGAACTTATTTCTTAAAGATTTTATTTGGAAAATTAGTATTAGACATGAATCAAATAACCATTGTATTAAATGCTTTGAATTAATATTGAAAGCATATTTTCTCATGTAAAAAATCAAAAGGAATGGCTGAATTCTCTTATATTGTAAAAGTGCCTAAATATTTGTTTGCGTCACTGAGAGTATATGATAAAGATCTTGTGGCTTGTCATGATATTAATGTCCAATCAGCTGCAAGCATAACTTAACTTCACAGGTGAAGAGGGCCAGGATGCAGGTGGTTTACTGAGGGAATGGTACATTATCATCTCCCGAGAGATTTTCAACCCAATGTATGCCTTGTTCGCCACATCTCCCGGAGACCGAGTCACCTACACCGTGAACCCTCTGTCTCACTGCAACTCCAACCATCTGAGCTACTTCAAATTTGTGGGCAGAATCATCGCCAAGGCTATCTATGATAACAAGCTATTGGAGTGTTACTTTACCAGATCCTTCTACAAACACATCCTAGGCATTCCAGTCAAGTTAGTCATTACTCTTCCCTTGTACATGTTGTACTCTGATCAGTTTCAGTCCTAAAAGATTAAGTGTCATTCTTTAACTAGGCCCTGTTCCTCAAAATATCCAATTTAAAAGATATCCGATTTTGATTAGTGATTCTTGATTGTCCGATACTGATATAATGATAATGTTTATGGTATTATCTGGAATTAAACATCTTCTGGCCAAGGCAAATCTTAAATAATGTATTGAACATTGTAGGTACACTGACATGGAGAGTGAGGACTATTCCTTCTACCAAGGCTTAGTGTATCTACTGGCAAATGACATCTCAAAACTAGGCTATGACTTGGACTTCTCAACAGAGGTAGGCTTACAGATACAGTAGATTTTTTCCAATTTTTTCTCAAAAGACTAATAGTGCCAACAGTAGGAAAATGGAAAACAGCATCAGATAAAAGTATAGCCAAGAACAAAATATGAAATTTTCTTAAATCTTCACAGCTAGCTAACACCCTGTAATGTTTTCATTACATTTTTCAAAGTGTTAATAATGTAGATTTTATTACATATAGACCATCTTAAATTGACCAAACTCTCACTGTCTCATGTTACAGATCCAGGAGTTTGGTGTGAACGAGACCCGAGATCTGAAACCTAACGGTCGTAGTGTGCCAGTCACTGAAGAAACAAAGCGAGAATATGTGAAGCTTGTCTGCCAGGAGAGAATGACAGGTGCCATAAGGAAGCAGCTCAGTGCCTTCCTTGAAGGCTTCTATGACATCATACCGAAGAGATTGGTGTCTATATTTAATGAGCAGGAGTTAGAGTTGCTCATATCTGGCCTGCCTACTATTGATATAGAGGATCTGAAGTCACAAACTGAGTACCATAAATACCAGGCTAACTCATTACAGGTATGTCTATATGCTGTATGTCGTGTTCAAACTGTCCATATCTTTCAAGATATTCTAAATCTACAACTATCATCTCAACTTCTCAAAATAAATTTTAACTTTAAGTGAGTGTAAGATAGTCCCGGCCAGAGCTGTTTGCCATTGCAAATGTTTATTATAGAGAACATGTCTGTTTGTTGTTTGTTCATGCGTCTCCAATAACCCAAATACTGATTGACGGATTTGTTATCATTTGTTTTAGATCCAGTGGTTCTGGCGTGCTTTACGCTCATTCAACCAGACTGAGCGTGCTAACTTCCTACAATTCGTGACAGGCTCTAGTAAGGTGCCACTACAGGGCTTCAGTCACCTGGAGGGTATGAATGGCATACAGAAGTTCCAAATTCACAGAGATGATCGCTCTACTGATCGACTCCCTTGCGCTCATACATGGTAAGTACAAGGCTTATCAGTGCAAGTAATGGTCAACTTGGAAATAAGATAGCTTTTTGTCTCAGTATATATCAGATGCCTGTATTTTCAATAGAATAAAATTTGCCAAAGTTGATATGGTGTAAATTAGGTTTGTAAAATTTATTTTTTGTGTATATCTGGCAACATTATTTGAAAACTGATTATTGGTCGAGATTGAATATGTCTGTGCTAAAATATGCTGCATCAGATTTAAGAATTTCAAGATAAAAATTTATTTTAATTTCAGTTTCAACCAGCTAGATTTACCAGCATATGAAACATACGACAAGCTGAGATTTATGCTCCTAACTGCCACAAGTGAGTGCTCTGAGGGATTTGGTCTAGCATAGAAGTTGCTGTAGTGACTGGAAGTTGTGATGGCGTTGCTATAGTGACCAATATAAGGCACTTAAAAATATTGAGTGAAGTTTTTCATGACTGGAATACCATTGTTAAAGTAACTGATGTGAAATGGTGATACTTTCATTAAAGAAAAAGTGCTACAGTTGAGTGATGTAGCTAATGTATGTGGAAAGTGATATTGCCATAGTGATTGGAATTATGGAGAGGTTGCTATAGTGACTTGCTGTATTTCCAGTTTTAAGAATGACATCGTAAATGTTGATGTTGCACCTAACAGAAAGATACCATTCTGAGTTTGATTCATCTCTCGCACGGTTGCGTAAAATATATCGCGAATATGATAATTCCTAGATAGTATCAAGAATGCAAAGTCGTATTGCAATATGCATTCAATACATAGCATTAATATGCCTTGAGTAATCAAGGGATTAAAGAAATGTGACCCCAACATTGGAGATTGTGTCTATAGGTTAAGCTATGAGTAGTTGGAGGTCACATTCTACATTTAAATGTAATAAAAGACGAATTGGACTTCGTAAATGGAGAGAAGTGTAACATGGTAGATTTGCTTTATATACTCTCAAAAGAAGTAATCAAAACTTTTGTACATTTTAACAAGGTATGTGTATACAGGTCTTATATTGGTTTCAAATAGTTTTGGTTTCAAAAATATGTGCAGTAGAAAAATTGTTAAGCCATGATTGATGCAATTAAATTGGTTTGTGTTTCTATTCGTTATGAATGAAAACTTATTAAAAAAATCAATGTAGCAGTTATCCTGCTTACTATGAGTTCAATGATTTACCCAGTAATATTTAGCAACAGGGTGTCCAATTTTTAATAGGTTTAGCACAAGGTTGGTCTAATGCTGGAAAGATCACTGATATAAAAATATGTTCTTCTTGATTTGGTCATTCATAACAGTCTTGACCTCAGTACTACCAAGAAAATAGGTCCGTATTTTAGAATCAGTTAGAAATGTCTCATTATGTTTTCTTTAGAGTCTATTCTTTTTTTCTGCCATATGTGGAGTCTTGCATCAAGCCCCTGCATTCCCCGTTTCCTCTAAAAGAAGTGTATATTGGGGGAGGATGTAGACTGGCAGGTAGAGAGTAATTAGTAGTACTTATATCTGCACTGAGAACACTTAATCCTGGTTCAGGCATGGTCGATACTTGATGTGTCTTAAGATGATTGAATAATAAGGGCTGATTAGATAACATTTGAACTATTGTGTTACATATATATATAACAACCTTATACAACAAGGGATAATGGTTTCATAGAAACATCTTCAATTTCATTATGAATAACTGTTCATGGTTATTTGTGCCAACTCTTAGTCTAAAAATATGGTATGCCAATGTCTCTTGATATTATTATTGTATATTATAATATAATGTAAACGTGCAACTAAAATGACTATGTATAGAACTAGAAGGCGAGGTAGTGCTTTCTTCGTGTTCCGTATTGTATATAGATTGAAATTATTGTTTACTATTTCACAAAATGGCAATTGTATGTTTTGTTCCCCAGATTTGCGTTTATGAAATATAAAATAGGTATTGCCACAAAAATCGGTCATTTGTGTTTTTGTTTGTTTTGAAGTTCTGTGAGTGATGTTAACACAATTAAAAAATTAATGAGATCCTGCTTCACGTCATGGGACTTTTATATGATCGAACCATTTCTTGCATAACAAGCAGAAATAGAGTGTTTACGTAAGACACAGTTATTGAGGGATTTCTATTGTCTTTATTTTTATGAACTATCTGATAACGTATAATTGATTATCTATTTCCGTCTCTGTTTTCTCGTGAACAATAAATATAGGTACTGTACGTTGCACTTTTGGATGCTTTATTGTGATCCGTTTGCTGGGGAGATAACGGCAGGCGAACTCCGTCATATACTTCAAAAATGCCTTAATACACAAGTCAGGTGTTCAACTGCATATATTGGAGAGGTTAAGCAAATACGGTTTTTCAAAACGTATACGTAAACGCAAAGTACATTGAATCAACATAGGATTGTATCGCTTTAGTCTACTTCAGATACCCGTTCAACTTCAAAGTTGCGTGTTTAGAACGGGAGATTTTAAATTTTCACGTTGCTATCAACGGGAATCATTATACTCATGTCTGTTGAATACTATCCCTGCAATTTTGATTTCGATGTAGAGTATAATTCTTTCTAAAGAAGATGATGTATGTTACGCATGATTTAACTCCAATAATCTTACGAAACGAGCTCGTTTAAAATATGTATTAGAAAACCAGCTATTGAACTTCATCAATGGCATACTATGTAATCATTACAAGCTATGGTGTAGTCTAAACAAACACTAGAGCTGAACGGCTATTTATGTGTGAACTCTACATGTATTTGTATAGGGACGATTGATACGTTTAAGTTGCGTTTTGGATTTTATACGGTAGCTTAACCTCTCCACTGTAGTGGGGACGGGGTATAATAAAGCTCCATCCGTTGGTGCATTTACGTACCGGTTGACGGATTTGGTTAACATTTGATAAGCTGCTTAACTCAAAGTGGCTGCCACATTAAAAGAAGATTTTTGAAGATGACTGCTGAATCCAAAATTGGCGCCATTATTGAAACTGTAAAGGGGACATGCCATTAAGAGGCCATTCTCGGACTTAGTCACTTTTTCAAAAGTGTGAAAATAAAAAACCTCATGAAAAGTTCTTAAAATATTCTGTATAACAAGTTGAATATATATATTTAATGATGGCACAAGCAAGTCTGAAAATTAACATGAAAGGAGGGGTTTTGACAGATGCAAAAGATGGTAGATTTGTGATGAAGAAATAGAGGTTTTTGCAGTAACAACACAATTACCTCAAAGTTATCGGTTATGAGAGGCTGAGGACTAAACTTGACATAATTTTCAATCTCAGATTATCAGTAGTATCTAACTTAAGCCGGATAGGCACTCAAAATGTATATGGAGCCCATAAGATACATTTTTTCTCAATTGAAGTCACTATTTCTGTTCTTAGTTTCAGAGGATAGGAGGTACATGAACATGCTAAGTTTACCTAGATCACAAGCCTTACCACAAATATAAAGTATACAGGAATAGAGTTGATATGTGTGAGAACCTTAAACTGCCGATTTCATTTGGGATGAGACTTGTGATTCATGTGTATTTCTAACTTCCTCACATGTGCATGGATCTAAAATTGTGGCAGCCATCTTGGATTTGTCATATATGTGGACATGGTTTTGGTTGTGCTGAATTTGTTTCAAAATAACATTTCTTGCATACCTTCGATAAGTGAGATAGGCATTTGAAATTAAATACAGATAGCATACTTGACATTTAATGCAGTAAACAGTAATACAATTCATTCTTACATAATAAGTGAGTCCAGACAAAAAGTTGTTATTGTGTTAGTTTAACTGGGCATAAATTACACTCATTGGCCTTGGTTTTCTTAATTGGCTTGGATAAAATGTTGTTCTATTTATTCAGAAAAGGAGTATAGTTCATTATACAAGTTCACATTCATTCCATCCTCTTGTAGAAATGAATCTCATATTATTTCATCTCAAATAGACAGGTTCCAATTCCAATAATTCAAGTTTTTGAGGCATTTTTTAGAAAAAGCAACAGACCTATTTTTACTAGATCAGTTTTTCATGCTGATAAAGATATTAAAAGATGACAGCTCAACGGGGTGGTCACGACACTAAATTTTGGCATTTTTACCCCCCTAGGAAAATATTCTAGGGGGTACTATGAAACTAGTTCATAACTCAAAGGATATATGAGCTATTGTTCTGAGTTGTACACCATACATTGCTAGTACAAATATGAATACTATCTTAAAGTTATAGGTTGATACCCTTATTGGTCTCAGAAAAATACAAAAAACAGGAAAAAGATATGCAATTTTTGTCTTGCCAATTTTATATTTGTAGCTTCAAGCACAATATGACAGCTTTAAAAGCTCATAGTAGTATTCTAAAAACATTTCCAAGCTATGTGTGGTATTGTAATACATCTATTTTAGTTATGAAGTACTGTTTTGTAATTTTAATATGACTTTATAGTGCCCTACCCCTGGAAAATTGGAAAGTGGGTGTGGTGAATTTTATCATTTTGCAGCATTAAGTTAGAAACATGTATTGATAGACACCAAATCAATAAATTCATACCATCATCAAATGTTAGGTGACATTCTAATTCATTTATTACTAGAATATAGGACTTAAGATATTTTATATGTAAGTTTTCAATTTAGTACATGTATCATAATGAAATCTAGTGTAATTACATACTAGAGAGGTTGGCATACAGTCTCGACATTGACATAAAGTCTAAACATTATAATCATCAATTGATCTCATTTGAGCAACTAGACTATGGTGGTCATCATGCACAAGTAATGTACAGTAGAACCTGCTAAGTGGAACACCTCTGTAAGTGGAACACCTCCCAAGTGGAACACCTTTTCAAAGTCCCGTTTTAAAAACCCATTGACTTAATGTTAATTGAACCTCTGTAAGTGGAACACCTCCAAACTTGAACAGTGAACACCCCATATTGGAAAATTAACCTGCTAAGTGGAACAGTCAATTTCCATAGATTTCAATATTGATATATGTAAACAGAATTAATCTCCTTTAATGATATCTGGGTATGAAAACAGGTAATACTGTGATAATTGGCAAATTAGGACTTTAATGGATTAACCTCCTGTAGAGGTCAACATGTGATGCAACCAATAATTAATTTGATAATCAGCAAATTAGGATTTCATAAGATTATCATTCAGAAAATTGGATTAACCTCCTGTAGAACTGGACATGTGATGCTACCACTAATTAATATCCCTTGCTGTTTGTTTCAAACTTAATAAGTAAGATTAAAAATGTCATTTAAAAACAATTGAATTATTAGCAGTAGGAACAAGTCTTTAAAACTTAATTGCCTAATCTTTGTACCCGAGACTGGCACAATTAGGAGGATTAAGAATGTCAGAAAACATTTTTGGCAGAATGAGGAGGATTAAGAATGTCAGATACCTTTTTGAGTAAATTAAATGGATTATTAATGGTATATACCTGCCCTGTAATGAAGGGAGAATCATATTTCCAATGATACATATAAATCCTATATTTGATCTTGTATGTTCCCTGCGAACCCAAAACCTCCATAAGTGGAACACCTTCTAAGTGGTACGCTTTGTGGCAGAACGGAGAGTGTTCCACTTACACAGGTTCTACTGTATTTACATAATAATGTTATCAAGGAGCATGTAGGTTATCGCAAACAACTTCAGACAATTCTAACTTGAATTATGAGTATTTTCTGACTTATATCTTTTAGATCTATTCATTATCTTCAAGAAAAGTAAATATAATGATTGAAATCAGACCTAAGTGATATTAAAGGGAATGGCCCAATCAACATACTTTTTACTAAAAATGTTGACCTAATTTTTACCAAAGATGCAACCTTTAATTATATTGTTGAATGCATAATTAGAATATGCTTTGAGACATGTTCTATTTCCTAAGAGGAAAAGTGGATTGCTCCAGGGACTTTAAAGACACCGAATTGTTAACATTGTTAAAATGATGGCATTTTTGGTGAAAATGAGGTCAACAACTTTGAAAAAATATATTGATGGGTTGATTGCTAGTGAAATATCTCTGAGTCTGATTGACTTAATTATCCCTGTATACCTGTCTTCATGGTCAGAAAATAGTCATAATCAAAGATATAACTGTCTGAAATTGTTTGTGATTACTTACCTGAACCTTTCCAAGTCAAATCAGGAGTGACAAAATTATTTCCACCAAATTCTTGGCATGTCTTCAAATACGATAATATTTTCTTCATAAGATAGAGTGTCACTTGTGAACTTTATTGATTGACCTGAGATCGTACCACATCTTTATGACATAGAAGCGAAATAGCCATATTGAACTTTAATGATGTTTGTTTAATTGTTGTTTGCCACTTTTCGACAATTGTCAAAATTTGGGGGTTTGGGGGAGGGGTACAATTAGGTTAAAAAATTCACCTGATTCAGACTATCCTTAAATGAGCACTGATTCACCCGAGAGCATAACTTTTTCAAAACATGTAAGTGTTATTTTTGGACCACTCACATTAATGTTTCGTCTAATTTTCCCTCAGAGTTTCATCATCATTGTCCAAATCTAAGGCCATATTTGTTGAGATATATGAATGTTCATTATTAAAATCTTGCCTTCCTTTGCAGTTGGAAAAGATTCGGCATTAGGTGTTATAAGTCCCAGAGCACGATAAATAAATAAGAATAACAACAAAATGACATAGAACTGATAGACGTTTTCTCTTGTGCGTGTCAGCCATGGTCTACCAAATTGCTATTCAGTAGGAAGAAACTCATTTTTCAGTTTCCATTTTAATTTCCTGACAAATAGAGCGATCATCTCAGGATTTTTTCTATGATCTATGTGTCGCCCTAGCAACTTCTGTTTTAGAGAACAATAGAACAATAGAAAAGATTACTTTACCATAATTTTAATCATCCCACATTGTAGACATATTTAGAATTAAAAATATGAAGAGAATGACAAAACCTCTTAAAACACATTTCTTAGGAAACAAATAGTGTCGTATTCTTGTTACTATGGCAACAGAGTTTTTTCTTTTTGTCATTTTTGTCATACAGATTACCTATCATACCAGGACCAAATCCTGAAAATTTGAATTCAGTATCTTCATTAGTATCTTAGATATATAGGTTACTTATAGTATCCCCTGCAGATTTTATCTGAGTATAAGGAAAATGCTCTGAAGAGGGTTGCCCAAGGATGCCACTTAACAGTATTTTTGAGGTCCCAACCCTCTATTCATGGGAATAGTTAACCATTGTAAAGCTTCTCATGGTTAACTGACAGAATTGATTGTATCTTCAACTAAAAAGACAATAAAATGTAAAAAAAAACAGAAGAAACCCAAACCAACTTTCTTCTATTTACCAGGGGTAGGGCACTATAAAGTCATATTAAAATTACAAAATAGTACTTCATCACTATAATAGATGTATTACAATATCACACATAGCTTGGGAATGTTGTTAGAATACTACTTTGAGCTGTTCAAGTTATCATATTTTGCTTGAAGCTACAAATATAAAATAAGCAAGAAAAAAATGACAAAAATTGCATATTTTTTTCTAATTAATTGTATTTTTCCAAAACCAACAAAGATATCGACCTATAACTTTAGGGTAGTATTCATCTCTGTACTAACAATGTATGCTGTAGAACTCAGAACAATAGTTTATATATCCTTTGAGTTATGAACTAGTTTCATAGTACCCCCTAGAATATTTTCCTAGAGGGGTAAAAACGCTAAAATTCAGTGTCGTGACCACCCCGTTGAGCTGTCATCTTTTAATATCTTTATCAGCATGAAAAACTGATCCAGAAGAAATAGGTCTGTTGCTTTTTCTAAAAAATGCCTCAAAAACCCTTTCCCTTGAGATATTCTGAAATTGGAACCTGTAAAATATAGAACACAAAAATAAAATAAAAAACAAGTTTCTATTAATTGCAAAAGTTAGCTTCCATGTCATGACTGAGTTTGGGTTCCGCTTCTAGAGAAAGAAGATATTCCCTCTGGAAATATCGTATTGACCATTGCTATACACTCCATATTTAATCCTCCCTGTAAATAACATTGATATACAGTATATACGAGTACATGAGGAGGATCTGAGGTTTGGGTTATGTGAGACATGAGTTGCTACTTTTTGAATCTCATATTTATAGGATATCCTATGATTTTGAGGAATGTCATTTTTATCTACGAGGTGATATTGATATCTGCACGAGAGTGCATATATCAATATCACCGAGTAGATTAAAATGATATTCTGAAAAAAGGAGTATACTAAATGTAGAATATCATTGCAAAATGAATTCCATGCCAAATAGAGTCAATTTGGCGGGAAATCTTGCAAATGCGGGGAAAAAGTGATATCTGTGGAATACGGAAAATATTTCACAGATATCACCTTTTGCCAGGGATTTGAAAACTACAACCAATATGATGAGTTTTGTTACATAGTGATTTCATGACATCACGGGGATGAATGAATGAATGGATGTTGTTTTGATATATTTTGTTTAGTTTTATAGGTAAACTATTGGATAAATGGAACATTCTATGAATTTTCGTGATATCGTGTTAATCCACTCATTGGTATCAATATCTGCGCTAATTCGTTAATTGGCAAGATATAGATATCAACTCGGAGATAAAATCATTTAAAATCATATGATATCCTGTTCATATCCTTTACTGTGCCACAACTTTCTCATATGTTATATTTTGGCAGAGGCCATCATTTATTTTCCTTGAATTCATGCTTTTGTTCCTCGTTTTAGAAATGAGAGGAAATCTTTGATTTTCCTTGTATTTAAGTTGCTTAAATGTTGCCCTGTGATGTTGATAAAAGTCAATAGTAATCCACTACAGTCACAGTCGAAATGTACCCATTGCTAGCCCAGAACCTACCAAAATAGCATTTGCATTTTGCCAATATTGCCCTATGTGCTTTTCCATGAAAACAGTTTTAATCATATCTTTTCTTCATTATTTCATATATTACATTTTAATATATTTAAATTGGTTTATATTTATATATTATTTACTTAGACAACAATAAATAAAGATTTTTTTGTAAAAACACCAAAAATGGTATATGATCTTTAAATGACTGTTGCGTGAACATCAAAGCTCAAAATTCGCTGAAATTGTAATCTTATAAAGCACAAATGATTTTTCTTCAATGTGATATGCATTATTATCAGATATCTTTGGGGGCTAAAAAGGGCCCTTAATGACACCCGTGATAACATTTTATTCATTCAAGATTTGGAACAAATTGTATAGGCTAATTGCCTTATGGGCATAATTATGACCTTTTCCCGAGAAGGAACTTTTTACATGGTGTCAATATGCGTTTATTTTGCCAAAAGGAGATGATACTAATGCCTTGTTACTTTTGTTTGTACTGTACTATATATAAAGATGACACGTCCTTTGATGGGATTTGCTATTCCGGGAAGTTTCTGTTATAGTTTTCTGGTTATTGACCGCAAAGAGATTTTATAGGACGATAACAATGACAATCTTCTATCATATTGATCATGAACACAGGCTGAGCCGCTAAAGTGTAAAGCAGTATCTGACCATGTTATCTTCCACAATAAGATTAAGTATTAATTAATTGATTAAGGTAGGTGTACACACAGAGGCTTAAAATTAAACAACGATAAAGTGAATACACTCCTTTCATTAACATGTTCATTCTATACTCATCAGTTCCTTTGTTGTCTTGGTACCATTGTGTGAGTTCAGACTACTACTTCGATATGGCCGAGCACATATTCGGTGAAATAACGTGCACCAGTGCAGCGAATGATGGAATCCATCATACTTATGGTCTACACCTCGGAGATTCACTGGTGTAGGAGTGGGAGGCGTAGCTTGGAGTGTGTCTCCACCAATCAGATCGCTTTGAAATACTCCGATATTCGTTGAAATAAGATGCACCAATGAAGTGAATCTCAGAGATGTAAACCATAAGTATAATGGATTATGGAGGGCATATCTTGGAGTCGGTCTCCACCAATCAGATCGCTTAGAAAGTCTCCGAGTAACAGAATGGATCTCTCAGGAGCCTGACTGGGGTTATAAAACCAGTGAAAATGAAAAACTAATGTTAGAGCTCGTAACTAATTTCAATGACGATAAAACTAGTTTTATCTGCTGTTTATTCAATTGCATGAACATATTGACAAAAATATATAACAACAATTGATCGAGGAATTCTTACTAATTGCGAAACAGAACGGTGTGATGAGAATCAGCGTGTTGCTATTCAGATTAATGCTTCACGAAGGATATAGGTCGTAACATGTAAATATGAGGTAGTGCTTTGAACCATAATTAAAGATCTTTGTCAAGTTAAATCTAATTAACGTTCTTAGTACACTATCGAACATGTTACTTAAGGGTTTAAGCCCTAGATATGGATGTGCATTGTTGACTGATTATCATTCCTCAAAGGTGTTGTTTCAAAGTTTGGACGTGATGCCTAGCATCGAGTGTTAAATTTTGAAAACAACGCCTGAATGGAATGGATCAGCCACAATCCATAGGGTCTTGGGTTTAAATTCTTTCACACATCGCAAAATGTGTCACTTAAATAATATCACTTAAAAGATATGAAATAATCTTAAAGAATACATTTTCAAGGATCGAAACATTTTGCAAGGGTCAAGTTGTCACTTCTGTTTGTGTCAGTCCGCTACATGGATTGTCACCTTGACAACCGTACAACACTTACCATTTGACTTTCATAAGCATGTGGCTTGATTTTTCCTATGATACTATTTATGGATTTTTACTCAACTATTGATTACGGTTTCATTGGTTTCAGTAGAATCTATGTGACCTTAGGTGGTTTGTTGCTTATAGAATGCAATGCAGCTATACCAAATACTGAATTCAGATTGGCTAGAATTGGACACACCTTGCCTAGCTACGTGTGAATAACTTTTCATGCTCGCGTCGGGTGGACACAGTCGGGTGGACACATTGCAAATATTTTAATGCACAATGTCAATTTGCTTCCAACAAACAACTCAATGATCAAGTTTGGTTTTCAAGGAGGGAAGGAGAGCTATGTTCGAGTATTGTAGTATGTCAAGAATATTAAACTATTTGTATATAATATGTAAGTAATCATACAAACCATCTTTTATTTGACGATAAACATTCACACAAGACTCGTTTGATTTTCAATCTTGAAAACCGACCATGGATAACCCAAAAATATATTTTTCTTGACCAGAGTGTGAAGTATTCAAACATGGTGCACTTTTGAAAATTCATTTTCAGTATCGGTGGGTATTGGCTGAAGTCCGCTTTTGCTCGAGACGTAAGTTACACAATGTAAATCTGTGATTTTTATTCATGGATAACAAAACATCAAAAGAAAATATGTTTTTATGCTTTTTTATCTTATATCTGTATTTCAATCGATATAACATTTTCATATTTCAACAAATTTCAAAATGTATAATTGATCGAATTCATTACTTCAATAAAACGTCCAAAACATGAGTTAACAACTCCCAAATACACATATCCGTCAGTTCTGGCAAAGTCGTGTTGTAGCTGCCCAAGATGTCGTGAGTTCGGATCTTTTTCGAGTTCATTAACTTCTCCGTCACTTACAAGGTTGAAGCTGTTTCTTTGTTGAAAATTGAGGGGTTCGAAGTGAAGACAACGTAATTAGTCAACACTGGTTGCTCTTTTAGTTGCATACGTTTGGTAAAATGTTCCTGAGTATTGCATCATCACAGAAGCCTCGTTTGTTCTGCTGTGCCTAAAAATACATTCGTTCAAACGAGTTATACATTTACCCATTTAGTCGCCATCTTGTCACATTGACATCACATTTTATTGGTCACCAGTTGATGTATAATCTCCCCAAGCAAATCAGCCGACAATCCGACAAGGGATATTCTAATAGTTCAGCCAATGACATAAGCATGCATGGTGGGGCAAAGGACATCGAACTATTAAATCATATATGAGATGAACCTCTATATGTAATTAATTAAATGATCCGATCTTTATATTGACTAGGTCCATCGAGGTAGTTTAGTACAAAGAGGCATATTTAGAAATTATATATACAAAAGACATTAAGGAGTTTCCTCATGACATCACACTTTTTGAATGCTTTCAATATGTACTAAATGAATGCTTGGAATAACGTGTCTTTGTGATATCAAGGATTATCATTATGACATCACATTTTTTAAATGCTTTAAATATGTAAATAAATGCTTGGAATAACGTGTCTTTGTGATATCAAGGAGTATCATTATGACATCACAATTTTTTAAATGCTTTAAATATGTAAATAAATGCTTGGAATAACGTGTCTTTGTGATATCAAGGAGTATCATTATGACATCACAATTTTTTAAATGCTTTAAATATGTAAATAAATGCTTGGAATAACGTGTCTTTGTGATATCAAGGAGTATCATTATGACATCACATTTTTTAAATGCTTTAAATATGTAAATAAATGCTTGGAATAACGTGTCTTTGTGATATCAAGGATTAACATTATGACATCACATTTTTTAAATGCTTTAAATATGTAAATAAATGCTTGGAATAACGTGTCTTTGTGATATCAAGGAGTATCATTATGACATCACAATTTTTAAATGCTTTAAATATGTAAATAAATGTTTGGATTAACGTGTCTTTGTGATATCAAGGAGTATCATTATGACATCACATTTTTTAAATGCTTTAAATATGTAAATAAGTGCTTGGATTAACGTGTCTTTGTGATATAACACCCTATGCAGACAGAGCCTGTGGGAAATATTGGGTGCGGAGCAAATGAGCAGAGGGTGCGGAGCTAACGGTCATTTTTGAATTTAAATTTGGGATATTTCTGAAAATAAGCCGTTTTGGGACTTCAAATATACCAAGATATGTGTATTTGACACAAAATATCAATACAATTGTGAAAATAGTAGCGCAATTCATTCCCGAAACATTTCCGAATTTTTATAAAATCACACAGATACTGCCTGGCTTCCAAGATGCAAAAATAATTTGCATGGGTAGTGTATCTTGAACACCATTTTTTATGAATGCTGGGGACGCAGTATTAAAAAGGATAGTCTCAAAATATATAGGTCTGGGAAATGTTTAAGGCATACTGCGTCGCTATTAAATGAATTGCACTACTATTTTCACAATTGTATTGGTATTTGGTGTCAAATACACATATCTTGGTATATTTGAAGTCCAAAAACGGCTTAGTTTCAGAAATATCCCAATTTTAAATTCAAAAATGACCGTTAGCTCCGCACCCTCCGCTCATTTGCGCCGCACCCAATATTTCCCACAGGCTCTGTCTGCATAGGGTGTATCAAGGAGTTTCATTATGACATTACATTTTTAAATGCTTTAAATATGTAAATAAATGCTTGGAATAACGTGACTTTGTGATATCAAGGAGTATCATCATAACATCACAATTTTTAAAAATGCCATTAAATCATTTCATAAAAATGTGAATAAATGCTTAAAATACAATGGAACGTAATGTGTTTTGATATTTCTTGATAGTCATTTGAATTTAGATAATCAAAAAATATTTTCGAACGCTGCATGAATGGCCAAGGCCATAACAGGCCAAAATTCGGAAATTTTTTCAGATATGAGCCCCCTCTAAATATTGGGTGCGGAGCAGCTCCATAAACGTAGCTCCGCACCCAATATTTAGAGGGGCTCATATCTGAAGAACATTTCCGAATTTTTATAAAATCACACAGATACTGCCTGGCTTCCAAGATGCAAAAATAATTTGCATGGGTAGTGTATCTTGAACACCATTTTTTATGAATGCTGGGGACGCAGTATTAAAAGGATAGTCTCAAAATATATAGGTCTGGGAAATGTTTAAGGCATACTGCGTCGCTATAAAATGAATTGCACTACTATTTTCACAATTTAATTGATATTTGGTGTCAAATACACATATCTTGGTATATTTGAAGTCCCAAAACGGCTTAGTTTCAGAAATATCCCAATTTTAAATTCAAAAATGACCGTTAGCTCCGCACCCTCCGCTCATTTGCGCCGCACCCAATATTTCCCACAGGCTCTGTCTGCATAGGGTGCATAACAAAGGTCCATTGGATCCTCATTATTGGTTTTCCTAGTTATCCATTTTCTATTTTGGCGGGATAGGATGCCATGCTGTTGAAATAGAGGCTCTTTTATCTCGGAAATTATAATCAACAACCCATCTCGATAGTATATTTTCATTAAAGGCATTTGTTTGATTCCGTTGGCCTAAATAAATCAAACACATCGCGTGCAAAATAAAAACTCGGATAAGATTTAAATGTCTCAATTTCCTTTAGTATTAATTGTTTTTTATCGTAAGTGATTTGTGTCCAATAAAATCCACGTGCCATTTGTCAGTTGGGATGGGCACTGTTATCATTCACAAGTGCAAATACTACACTGAGATTCTCCCGACAAAAAATATTGTTTAATCAAAAGATAATACACTTGAGATAAAAAAGTTTTAAATTACATTTTTCGACAGTTGCTGATTTAACAATAGAGATGGATACTGAAAAATGAAAAGGACCTCTTTTTAATATACCAAGCCACATTTTTAGAAAATGGGACTTATGTGTTATGGGTCTCATTTGACAAAAATGTGACTTTGCCCCCCCCCACTATGTTACCTTGCAGACCCATGCATGACGTCTCATATCACCCCATGCAGACACATCGCCTAAAATTACATTCGTATGATTCGAGACTCGACATTCACCAGGAAAGTAGAAACATTTTGTCACCCATGAACCCACTGCTTAATAAATGGTCAAGGACAGTTACATTGAGTTCTATAAGTATGAGAATAGCATGACGTCTTGATATTTCAAGGTAACTCGTTCGAAAAGTGATGGCGGTGATCGAAATTACGATGTAAAGATAAAAACCGCAATGGAATATTTGTAGATTTCTTTGAAAAACTAAAAAATATACAAATATTAATTGTATGACTTATACGAAGCCAATGTTAAGGCTACCAGGGGGAATCGGACCTACATGCCTTACTATTTATACGTGTTTTTCTGTTATGAAAAATTCAATATGAGATGTATATATCTTAGTTTTTTCAAAGAAATCTACAAATATTTCGTTGCGGTTTTATCTTTACATCGTCATTTCAATCACCGTCATCATTTTTCGAACGAGTTACCTTGAAATATCAAGACGGCATGCTATTCTCATACTTATAGAACTTAATATGACTGTCATTCATCATTTATTAAGCAGTAAAAAATAATTTGCATCATGGGTGACATTCCTGGTGAATGTCGAGTCTCACATCATACGAATGTAATTTTAGGCGATCTGTCTGCATGGACTGCATATTGTTGCTATTTAAAATGTTACTGTAATTGCAATATAGTTTACCCAAATTTCAAAATCATATGTACTGAGCCTACCGTTCGTTTGCCCAAAGAAAAGATATTTTACTGAACGTTTCTAAGAAGGCTCCAAAATATTCTTGCCCTTTTCCAGAAATCATTGCAACGAACAAAACGAAAACATGACAGGTTTAGTCAAGGTATTTGAGGCTTCGCCTTTGCTAACAATCGACATCATGACACCCTTTTCTTCAATTATTACAACCTCCCTGGTGTCCAACACGTTGGTTAGTACGAGGGTTGATCCAAAAGTTCCGAACCGTTTGCTCTAAAAATCTTAATATTTTATGAAAATTGTTCATATTTGGCCACAACCACCCCATATATAGTAGTTTCATTTTGTGTAAAAATAAGCAATCAATTTGACCAGCAACATAGGTATCTGGTCACCATAGTAACACGACAACAGGGTATGTGGAGTAAGAGTACGACAAATTGTAGAGGTGGAAAAAAGTTGATTCTAAAAGAGTCTTACAGGGTGCCAAATTTCAAATGTGTCAGTCATGCCTGCCTATTAACCAATTATTTTTTCAATTTGTCCATTTTTCATTGTTACTTCTTGATTTAATTTCGAAAAAAAGTCTCTTATCCACTTATATACACTTAGTATATCTGCTGACCCTTTGATCAAACCCATCTTTAAATTCACCATCACCTGTCTCAGAAAGCCACTTAAGAACAGCAAGACAGACTTCATTTAATATTCAAAAGCATGTCTTGTCTTGTAAGTACTTCAGGTCACTATAAAGATAAACGTCAGAGGGAGGCAGATGTAGTGAGAAGGATGCAAGGTTAAGCCAAGGCATGTGCATATTTTCATTGACGTTTGAGTAAGTATTGAGGTATGGAATTGCGCATTGTCAAAATCGAACTGGATTTTATGCTTTGATTTGACTGCTTTTGACGCAAGGCATTCTTCTGGTCAATGATATCATAGTTGCCAACTGTAGCTTGTATGATATCAGATCAAACGTATAGCATTGGTCTAATGAAAGAATAATTGATTAATAGGCATGACTAACAAATTTGAAATACATTTTGTACCCTATATACACCCTTCAAGTGTCAACTTTTTTCCAACTCTACAGTGTGTCATTCTCTTGCTCCACATACCCTGTTGTCATGTTGCTATGGTAACCAGATACCTATGTTACTTGTCAAATTAATTTTTTATTTTTACACAAAATGGAACTACTATATATGGGGTGGTTGAGGCCAAATATGAACAATATTCATAAAATATTAAGATTTTTAGAGCAAACGGTTCGGAACTTTTGGATCAACCCTCGTACAACGTACTATTGATATTCATAGAAATATCAGCAAACGCGATAAATTGTTCACCTTGGGGCAATCTGACTGACAAAAGATAATCAAAGTTTATTGTAACTCGGAAAATACTATATTAGTCTCCCTTCTTGTTCTTCCAATTGTATGGAGAGGATATGAGGCCCGTAGCCAGGATTTACCGGGGGGGAGCGGTTTTTCCAAGCAAAGAACTTTTCCCAAGGGGGGAGCTTTTTGACAGTTTTGGCAAACTTCATGCGAAAAGTGCTCAAAATGGTGAAAAACTGCATGATTTTGAAGGAATTTCTAGCCTGGGGTGGGGGGGGGGGCGGCCGCTTCCTCCGCTCCCCCTGAGACATTGCCCTGTGAATGTAACTCTGACATTCCTTTATAAGGAAATGGGACATTTCCCTTTATCTTCGAGATTGTCCTATGAATGTGCCTTTTTCCCTTTTTATATGACTGCCCTATATTTTTTATAAACGTGATCTTGCTTTATAGATGTGACATTGCCCCATATATGCAATTTTACCTATAAACGCGCCTCTGCCCTCTAATGGTGACATTGCCTTATGAATGTGAATTTGCCCTATAATGTGACTTTTCCTAATAACTGTGATATTGCCCTACTATTGTGATCTTGCCCTATAATTATGGCATTGACCTCTAACTGTGAATTTGCCTTATAAATGTGCTCTTGCCCTATAAATGTGATTTTGCCCCATAAATGTGACTTTTCCCAATAGCTGTGAATTTGTCCAATAAATGTTACTTGTCGTATGAATTTTAATTTGCTCTATAAATGTGACTTCGGCCTATGAATTATGTGAATTTGGCTTAAATATGATTTTACTCCATAACTATGGCATTGACCAATAGCTGTGAATTTGCCCAGTACATGTGAATTTTTATAAGTCGACAATTATTGCACCATTAGCAGATACATCTGAATATAATCGTAAGGGTGCACATTCCACTTCAGTAGTTCCGTGCGAACAATTAACAAACGCCATGTGAACAAGATTTCAATCAATCACGAAGCAGGGTCGTTGCACGGGAATAACCGCCACCCCCTGTAATATCCTTTATATCAAAATAAATACTTAATAGAGATTAGAAGAGGGGGATTGACCTACTCTCCATGGGTCGTTGTTTTCAGGTTTCATATCATTTATTTTATTCTTGGATCAATGGATCAACACCCAAAGTAATCATGTAAACGTAAAAAATAATTACCGAATAATAGTATTTATCCCATACTTGGACGTGTTACAGGTACATAAAGCCAGTTTGTAAAAACTTATATTTTCATCAGCGGGCAGATATAGCTTTACGTCCCGCTCCGAGCGGGCAGATATAGTATATCTGCCCGCTACGTCATAATCGTCGCTCGCATATTTGTTCATAATTTGTAACGTTCGCGTAATGACTGTGGAGAAAACACAGACAATCGGGATCTGATTGATAGCAAGGAGCATCCACTCAATCAAAAATTCGAGAAAATAAATATGGGAATATTTGAGAGAACAGGAAAATCCACCCACGGCCAAGAAAACAAAACTGGACATGAATATTCTAAAATATGTCCACGATTGAACAATTTGAACCAGATGACCAAGATTGGTATGGGATAAACATATTATCCTATAGTCGGTTCAGGATATTGGGATTATCCCTTGGCCAATATAACATATTTTCCCTCGGGACCTGCGGCCCTCGGGCAAATATATTATATTTGCCTCGGGATAATCCCAATATCCTGAACCTCATATAGGATAATCTCTATATATTCATACATGTAGTGAATATCCGTTATATTTAACGTGTTTTATATACTTTGAAAGAATGAAAGGATAATGTTTTTATCATTCACTTACTTGTCCAATCGTTGCATTTGTGCTAAAAAGTTTTTTGTTTGTTTTGCAGTGCAATGTGAAGTGAAATATTTGATGATTAAAAAAATTCAACTAACCCTACTATCACACCAAACTAGTTCTCAATACGTTCTCGAAAACGGGCTTCAGCTGTGTACGAACGGACTGGGCGTTCTTAGAACCGTTTGGGGTCTATTTACAAACTTCATCGAACTGATTAAGAACGTATTAAAGACTGCTTATGAACGAGTTAGCGAAAATATAGCTATCACACCAAACAAGTTGCCACTGCGTTCTTCAAAACTGGTTTTAAACTGTGTGCGAACGGAATGAACGTAGCTTCAACGTTCTACGGTCTGTTTACGAACTTCATGGACTTTTCCGGACGGGGAATGTGATTTAGAATTTTGAATCGATTCAAAATTCGATGGCGACCATACCGTTCTGTAATCAGGTCATGATGACCTTCTAGACTAAGGGACGAGTTATACGACGTTGCACACCGACGTGGTGCGACCTGAACGAACTGCGAATGAGATGGACGTATTGAAGACTGTTTATGAACGAAGTAGCTAATTATTTTAGACATATTTCCCGACCACAGCCAGATTGAGCCCGTTTTACGACGTTTTCGTAGGACTGGCAGAAAATTGAATTTTTGAGAAAAGGCTGACAAAATGTTTTTTTTTTCAAAAAAATTATAAAATAACTTTTCAAGTCATGAAAAAATAGGGACACGCTATTTCAATAATAAAATCTCATGTTTGAGGAGATTTAAAATATTTTGCAACTTAGTGACATCATTTTGAGATCACTCAGATGGCATAATTTTTTGAAAAAGGCCCTTGTCAAACAAACTTTTATTTTATTCATTTTTAGTTTTAGTAATTTTGTTCAATATACAGTACAAGTATTACATATTTTTTTACAATTTAAATGTATTTAGTAAAATACGAATAATCTTAATGACCACAATACGATTCTGGAAGCGAGATTGACTGACATTTTGAAAGAGTGTAAAACGTTTTAAGGATTTTTTAAACGTTTTAAGGATATAAACTATATAATTATAACTTCTTGTTATTAAGAAGGGCGAACTATGTGATGTAAAATCATGGTGATGTATAAATCATCCTCACTTGAAAATAACCTGAAAAGGCAAAACAAAAAAATGAAGAAAACGTTTTTAGTATACCCAAAGAAGATATTTCATTGATTAATTTGTCCTACAAAACTCCCTAAACTCCCCTGTGATAACAGTAAAATTGGTGAAAATGGAAAAATTAAAATAACCGGGAAATTCAAATCGTTTACCTTTATAAATTGGTATATTTCTTCGACAAGCATAGCATCGTTAATTCTATTTTGCATGGAAGAAGGTGTGTCTCTTTGTTGGAATTTGAAGCCAGGCGACAGTTCCCCATCCCTCTTGCCTCCAGGCTTTCTCGCGTACATTTTGCCCCATGAGCCCCCTTTGTTGAAGCTCCACTGGCAGGTTACAGTGTCCAAAAGTAAAAGAAAAACGGCAAAAATCACAACAGCAGAAACTTTCATTATTTTTGTAGTCCTATCGATTCTTACTCACTTTGTTTCACTGCTCATAAAAGTGATAGCAATAAATAGAGGATTGTCTAATTTTCTTAGGCTACTAATTTTCCAACTGATTCACCAATCTGTCAGCCCATCTACTATTTCTTACAGAGTGGAATATTTCTTCCGTTGCATTTCTTTTATATCATCATCCCTTCTATAAGGTACGCTTCTGGAACGTGCAGAGGCAGCGAATCTGCGTATTGATTGATTTGTAAAACACACCCACTTATTCCCCTATTTAATTGAACCCAGATCGTGACATATTGGTCAACACGATCAGCACCATCGCTTTATGTAGGCGCATACATATTCACGGTGACCAAGAGTTAACAGTGCAAATTGGCCCGGTCGTGTTTTTTCAAACTCTTTAGACGTGTTTTGCAGTAAGAACATGGGATGCGACATTCGTTAGAATGGAGCAAAAAGGTAAGAATATTCTATATTTTACAAACTTACATATCTTGACCTGTACCTAAGATGTTCTTCTTCATACCCACAAATCTATTTTGGGGATAAATCCATCATACTTCATATCAATCGCAATTATATACCAAAAGTGCCAGAAATATGTACTTAATTTACATTTAGTATTATTTAATCAAGTTTAAACAGACAATCCATTCAACAACGTAGAATAATATTCACTACTCTAAAGATCGTGTTAATATTTTAACTGTATTTATCTTAAAATTGCGATAAATGACCGTAAATGTAGAATGTTTTGCTGCTTAATAATTTGTCTGTGCTTCTGAAAATAATCGCATTAGTATTTTGAAGATGAATGTTTGTACTACATGACTATTCACATAATTTGTTATTTCAGTTCCTCGGAATAAGTGTCACGTGTGTGCTTTCAAAAGCGCCGATAAAAAAACGTTCCTTGAACATTATGAGAAGGTTCATCCAACTGATCTGTTCAGAATTGACATCCCTATCCACGATCAAGGAATATGGAGATATAAAACAATCGATTATGGGTTTCGGATGTGCGAAAAATTGGGTTCAAAGTTGTGTATTTATGGCACCAGTACATCGATAAAAGAGGAAGCATATATGATACTAAGTCCTTTGCAAACGCGCATGCGATTTTCTGAGAAAAGTTCAACACCTGTGAACAAAGAGTTGAGTTTTTCATATGATGAAATTGAAGATGTAATAATTTTTATTTTTATTGATTCAAAATGAAAATATAAATTATGTAATTGAATGCAAATTAGAGACCGACAACGTGGAATGATATTCACTACTCTAAAGATCGTGTTTATATTCTAGTTATCTTTATCTTAAAATGACAGACCGACCGGACAGACAGACAGACAGACTGACTTTATTATATTCTGTTTTTATATACAGGACTCCAACGCTGAAAAACACGAGCAACCCCCGGAAGAGATCGCAGATGTATCTGATATGCAAATGCTAACCAATATGATCGGGGAAGCATATGATGTCTTAAAGCGAACCAGACACCTTTACACCTCAATAGATTTCTCAAGTTTGATTTTGAGCACTAAATATCGGTGGAGTTATTCCTTACATTAGGTGATCATACTATATAAGTATATATATGCATTAACATTAAGTGCATCACAAACTAAACATTTCCTCTCATTTTAAATAAATTTATTTACGTTCATGACAGGGGAAAGTGAGTTTAAGGCCAATATGGACGTTTTAAAACTTATTTGAGGCAAATTCAAAAATAGCAACGAGCCATTAAATGAGCGACGGGGCAATTAAAAAATAGTCAAATTATCAAAACGACGAGCGGCGAGGCAAAGCTCGCTTGCATTTACCTTGTGTGTCTGATTCTAACCATTTTGATGTAAGTATCAAATTCTGTAATGATTCCATAGATCAATCTTGAAAAATTATGTCGTACATTTGATGATTGTTAATCATTTATAATAACGATAGTATTACTCAGACAACAACTTCTTCCACATTCTGATCATTTTTTGGGAAATACATAATGTTAATTGTGCTGTTTCCCACTTCCAAATCGTTAAACCTCAATGTCTCTACACGTCTAAATGGTTCCAGTAACAAGTCAACGTCATTAACCGCAATCTTTGAACACGTCTAAAGAGTTTGATCTAAAAAATATTATTCGGTCAATTGTTACTTATTAAAGCTCTTCTAACTTGTGGTTTTCGCACATATTGTGAATGCTTTCCTTATGAATCGATGTATTCATTGAATACAAGTCAGGCTAGTGATTTTCAGGCAAAAATATGTAAAAGACTGACAGATTGCTCACTTTCCGATATAACAAGACTATAGCATACGATTCGTGCAAATAACACGTTTATGGATACCTGAAGTTAAGATATAAAGTATGGAAAGGAATATAAATAACTTACTTTTACATAAAGTCAAGTGACAGCAATTTCATGACCAAATTTATCAACCTACCTCTCAAATTTTCAAAAACACATGTCTAAAGAGTTTGAAAAAACACGACCGGGCCAATTTGCACTGTTAACTCTTGGTCACCGTGCATATTGTTTATTGTATCTTAATTTCCAACAGCGTATGCTTCAGAGAGTAGAAATCACGGGTGTTAAAACACGAATGAGCACATGCTTTGAGGATCCGCGTTGTTTGAACCTACCGCCGAGCACACTTATACATTAAGACCCGTACACAGTCATGATACCGCCGAGCAAGCTCATTGCATCATCGGGTCTGCTTTACCCCCGTGAGAAATGTTGCATGATGTCGGAGCGTATATAACATCAATTAGACTAGTCAGAAGGGAGAGAGGGTGTAGAAAGGGAGAGTGAGTGTGAGGGTGAGTGTAAAATATTGGAAGCAATCTTTTCAAAACTCTGTCAAACGTTTTTCTTACAACCCCCTCTGATATCAAGCGTAGAAAGTATCGAAGATTTAAAATGTACGTAGATATGTCCAAATTAAAATTACAATCGTCAAAAAGGCGACGTCCCCGTTTTCAATATTTCGATTCAAAAATCGAAGGTTTATCTCTAATCATAATATTATAATTGGATTTTGCACGCAGCATTAAAACCATCTGACACTAGTACTCTTTTTAGACATCCTTTTTCAATGCTACTGAGTTTTTACATTTCTGCATTTCAAGTTTTCAGGGCATTCCATATTGGATCAGAGACAAGGAAATTAGTTACATTTCAGACCACATGCACTCCACTTCTTAAACTCTGACTTATGTTAGTTTAGGCTCACAAGATGCAAACAAAAACTGTGGACCTTTACCCCCTCTCCGATTGAGAGCTCCTTCCGCAAACTTATAACATCGACACTGTGCTTCTTATGGAGCTGTCAAACTTAGGCAGCGTGGGCTCACCGTTCGCGTGTAAATACTTTTGGACAGACGGCGCCTCATGGCATGGGCACACTGTGGGCAAACCAAATAGTTTACAGTAAGATATTGTCATCTCGCCTTATTTCGCACATATTCCAATTAAAATATGCTTGACCATGGGTGATAAAGCTTTCATCGACTTGGGAAATGACCAAGGTCATATTTTAGATCAATGTGTAAAGAAATATCTGAAAGCAATTTGTATACCCTACACTAAGGATTGATGTAATTTTAGTAACATTCTTATGTATTTTAATTTTGACTGTAATTGTGCACCACTGTTTTAAAAGTGATTCCAATAGATAAGGGCAAATTTACGATAATTGGTATTTTCAAAATCAGTTGTTTTACTGAAGCCTGTGCTGTGTGTGTTGATACCAGGTACATTTGATGTGCGCTATTTCAAAGTCATCACAACTAGTTATCATAATCATGCGATGTACATGTATACTGAAAATATTGCCTTTTATTTCTCAAAAACGGCTCAAATGATGATTTTTTTTCAAAAAAGTTTTTTTTATATGTGGAGATACAAAACCTTTTTCTATGCATATACCATTTGTCTAATATTTTGTATCCTCCAACAATGACGACAACGATGCATCATTTGTTTGAGATTTCGCCAGAAAGTGCCCTTTAGGGTTACCTCTTAAATGGCAGACAATGAAAACATCAGACAAGATATTGTTGTTCTTGTGGTGGATTTAGGTTCTACTGTCCAATATTTTGTATCCTCCAAACATTAAAATTTAATCAATGCACATAAATTATTTCAAACAATTATTTTCAGAAATTAGACTAATTCAATGTAGTATTTAAATGATTGTAATATAAATTCTCATTTAATTCGACTTTTTAAGTAAATTGAATATGTTGAGTATGTGTTGGAGGAAAACATATGGAGAGTTATAAAACGTGTTAGTTTTGAGTACGACATATCAAACAACCCCTTTTGAGAGATGGTGGGAAACATATTTTATTAACCAGCTAGAAATGGTTTACGGACAACTCATCCCCTAGACAACTCATCCCTGGACAACTCATCCCCTAGACAACTCATCCCCTGGACATCTCATCCCCTGGACAACTCTTCCCCTGGCAATCTCATCCCCTAGACAACTCATTGGATTAAAGAATATTTGAACTATGAACAACAAACATATAATGACATCAAAGGAGCGTATGACATCAAAGGAGCTTCTTCAATCAATGTTAACATAATATTGAAATTGTATATTAAAAGTAAAATTAAAGGTAAATATTTACAAAACAAATTACATATTATTTCCTTGACAATACCATAGTAGTACTTTCCAGATTTCCCCTCAAGAAAGTCTTGTTCACTTGTACTCAGAAGACAACAGAATCGTCGCTTTAATTCCTTACTACAGGGTGGGCCAAAAAACGCCACTTTTTTTCAAAATGATATAACTTTTTTAATTTTTGATATTAAATCATAATTTGCATACCAAATGAAACTTGAGGTTGTTATCTAGCCATGGATCATGAATTACTAGTATACACTTTTACTTGAATAGAATATGTCACCAGCGTCTCACTTAAACATGTGGTGTGCCATGAGAAATGAGCATAATTTGCAAAATGTTCATGAACTGATTCCACCTGATGATCGCCAAGCTAATAGCCCTGATACAAACCCCAGTGAGTATAGGGTATGGGAAGGTCTTCAGGAGATTGTATGAAAGCATCCAATCTAGAAAATTGCTCAGTTAAAGCTGGCAATTAAGACAGGTTGAGAAAAACTTAGCTAACATTTCATTGATACTGCAATGTTAGCAAGGCGACTAAAACTAAAATATATCATCAATTAGGGTGGCGGACCAATTGAACTCCCCTTTTAGATCAAATATAAT